CAGTGTGTCACAGCGTGGCGCACTTTTGCAAGGAGTGGCTCGGATTCAGAAGACGAAGATGTTAACTTGTCCACCCACTCCGTGACACGGTCTGACACGTTTTCTCGTGTGATATAGGGTCCGGTGACACGGTCTGACACGGTTTTGCAAAGAACAAAAAACTCAAAACGGTCAAGTTCAAAAGCGGCAGCTGTCTTCAGCTTATCTGGCCTCGGAAACTGCAGCCTTGTCCAAGGGCAGGGCGATTTTCTTGGTGGCCCCACCCACAGGCAGAACAAGCAAATTCAGGCAATTCAGAAACTAGGGCCCCGCCTTGCCCAGGCTGGCGCTTTTTGTTAGTTTGAGCCCGATGCAACAACACAGAAACAAACTTTCACTATATGACAACCTGCCCATGCCCCTAATCAGACCCATAGCCCGGGCCTTGCAGGGCTCGCTGCGCTCGATCAGCTGGACTGGGCTTGAACGCAAAGAGTTCCATGTGTGGTAGCTTCTTAATTTCAAAGGGCTTACTTAACACACGAACCTGCGCAAACCATCAAGCTTTTCAGCTGCGAAGTTCCACTTCAAGCTAATTGAAATCACAACTCGTTGAAACCGTGAGTCCGGACACATCTGCCGGAACCATTTCCACTTCTTAGGGACTCTGACCCATCACGACTCACAACCGGCCGCCCTCACCAAGCCGAGTAAGGGGGCTGGAAAGGGCAGAAGTACTGGCCTTGGTGCCGCGTTCAACAATCCCCGGCAGATTGGAAGGCAAATGGCGCTGGCAGGCAAGGTTCACCTCAAAGAAGTGTGGTCTGATGGCCTGAAAATGATTGGATTGCTTCAGCATGTTGAAAAAACATGTCAAATGTTTGAACCGTGCTTTGATGGCCTTTTAGTTGAACCCCGTGCTGCAGGCGGGCCGCGCCTGGAACTTGCAGACCAACCTCCAAGTTCCAAACAACACAAACGCCAACTAATTGACGGCGAGCCTAATTCCTTTCCAAACAAACTGACTGACTGACTGACCAAAAGTCGGCTCGCTAGCTAACTAAATGACACTCAGCCAAACTACTCAACCCCCCTCCCGCTCCCCCCTTCCCCTTCCACCCAACGCCGAAGAACCAACTAACAGCCCGCCTGCCTGCTTTTCTGCCTGACTGACTCACTGCCTGATGAACGGACTATCTAACCACTTCAACTTTGGCGACTCGACTCGACTCAACTCAACGCGAAGAACCCCGCCCTCAGCTGCCCTTACATGAGGCGAGAGAGGTTGGACGGAGTGCCACCTGTTAGAAAGCCACCTGACGCAGGGTTCTGTTTGAATGTTTGAAGGGCACTTGATCTTTCAGGTAACCTTCCACACGTGCTGTCTGAATGTAATATTCTCCCAGACTTCAGTGCTTTTGAAAAGGCTTTCTGTCCACTTCCATGATTGGAAAGGGGGTGTAACAGTTTGCCCTGCCGATGTTGTTTCTTCTCTGTCTGTTGGGACTCCAAGGAGAAGGCGGGCCGGTGGCAGCAGGCTGTGGCGCTGTGGGAAGATGCTCCGGAGGCGGCTGGGACGAAGGATCATGGCGGGGGCGGCGGAGGGCAATCTACTTCGCCTGGCCGAAGGGCCCTTCCCCCGCCGAATGATGGACACTTGTGGCTGTTTTGCAACTTCCTTCTTTTAGGGCTTATGCGTTTTTAGGGTTCCATTTTTCTTTCATTGAGGCTTATTCACCACCGAACGCCATTGGGTCCCGGGTCGGATGGGTTTTTGGTGGTCCCTGACCAGGTGGACTTGATCTTATGCAACGCATTGATCAGTGCCTGCGAGAAAGCCGGACAGTGGCGACAGGCCTTGCACATTTTGGAGCGTGCGGCCTGGCATGAGAGGTGATCTGTATCCCGAGTTCAGTGGCCCCCTTGCGTGATTTACTTTGGTGGGTTGCCCGCTAGATATGGTCAAGTCCCAAACAGAGTCATTGGATGGCTAGGTATTGTTTTCGTAGGGCTATCTCTTGCTCCCCCAAATAGCCCCTGAAAGCTTGACCCCTCCTCCAGGCTACCTTTTGGGAAGCAAGTTTGGTCCACCATGTCCACCTCAGCCAAAGTGTCTTCGGTTTCCTCGTTGTTTGGAGTGCCTTGGCTGGCAAAAGGCCGACACATGTCCCGGGAATAGGAAATCCCGGGCAAAAGAGGGAAAACAGATGCACCATGGACAACTGTGCTCACTCCCTGAGCTTCTGAACTTCAAACTGTTTGCAATTTTAACTAAACGTGGGGGGGACTTTGACGCAAATCCAATGAAGTCTGTGTATCATCTGGGGTTGGCAGAAAGGACTCGCAAGCTGAGGTTCACCTCCAACGGCTGCAACTGGACGCTCAAGCTGATCGTTTGCCTGTTGGATTGTCCGGGAGGAAGCCTCTAAACATGCCAGGTCCTCTGCATGTTTCGTTTTTTTTTTTTTTTTTTGTGTGTGTGTGTTTTTTTTGCCGGAGGGTGCCCTTTTCGGGTTGTCTTGTGAAGCTAAAGCAACGCGAACCGCATTTCGGGAGGGAGGTGGTGGACAACTGTCCTATTGGCCAAGACAGCGAGACAGGGAGAGCGGTTCCAGGCAAACCCTACATTTTCTTGTCATTTTCTGAACCTGGATGACCTTGAGGGAGTCTACCAATCTTCAGAACTCATTGTTCCCAGCGAGCCTGCCAAAAGCAAGTGGAACGTGACTCTGAGGACGTCATCAGCTTCAACTCAGCCATCAGCGCCTGCGAGAAGGCGATATGTTGGCCTTTGGCCTTCGACCTCCTGCGAGAGCTCCAGGTGACGGTCTGAAATGGGCGCGGTTCAGGTCGTCGGACCTCAAAACTTCCCCCCCGAATATGTGGGACACCTGGGGGCGATTTTGCAACCTCTTTCTTTAGGGTATTGTTGTTTTGCAACATCTGTGTGGCCTTTGTATTCCCCCTCCGCTGTTTGAAGGGGAGCCAAAGAGTAACCACCAACAAATGAGAAAACCCCAAATTGAAATTGGAGCCTTTCGGAAACCTGGTGCTTTCAATCAACTGTCTTAGCATTACAAGTAGACCAGCAGACCATACCGGAACTCCCTGATCCCTTGAGGTTTGTCCAACTCATGGGGCCCCGGTCAGCCGAACTGGACCACCATTCCTTTTGCTGTTTGGGGAATTGACGGGAATATGTGCAGGGGCGAGCTGGTAAAGTTGCGGCGAACACCAGCGAAACAGAAGTGTGCCCCCTGGGAGCCAATGCCCAGCAGTTCGCAATAAATCACGTCTGGTCCCTTGAACCCGCGAGATGCTGCTTCAGATGTGTGTGTGTGTGTGTCTCTTTGAGCGGGTGCCCCTTTTTAGTAATTGTAAAAAAAAGAAGGAACAATAAAAATAAAATTGTGGGGGGGGTCCAAAAAAAGGCGACACACCCAGATGTAACTCGTTGGGGGAGGACGACCTTTCTATCATTGTTTTTGTCAGTTGTCCCATTCAGTCGACCGCAAGCCGTAGCCAGACCCATGCTTTTACCGTCCGGAGACTTGCCAATCTCTAGCTCGACAGGCGCTTAGATCGGCAACCCAGGGCTACGCGAATCTTCAGCTTGGTTCATTCTCAAATGAGCTTCACTTTGGTGATGTGAGCACATATAATAAACCCAGTGTTTGCAAACCAAATGATGAGACCCCCTGGAACTTCGCGTCAAAAGCATGTCCTTTCCCTTCTCCTTTGGGTGTCCTCTTGATTTGCCACTTGACTTGGGTTGTGTGGTTATGAATCGGGGTTTACCCGATCCAACTTTTTCTGGAGGTGTTTTCCCCATCCAAACTCTTGCTGGTGCTCAGCAGGGAATGAGGGAATGACCCCTATAAACCATCCCTTTTGGTTTCCGTTCAGGGGACCCCCAGGTTGATATTCCCTCCTTCCCTACCTATCGTACCAAGCACTCGGCAGGCTCGTGCGTTGCAGCCCACTGTGATCACCTACAACTCCGTCCTCAGCGCCCTCTCCGGCGGCAGCTCCGCGGGCGGGGCTGTGGGCCCGCTGCTGGCGCAAATGCGGGAGGCGCGGCTGGCGCCGGATGCGGCCACTTACGAGGCGGCCGTGGAGAGCCTGGGCGGCTCGCTGGCATCTACGAAGTATCCAGAGAAATTTACAAATATTCACTGACCAATCGACCGCCCCAGCCAGCCAGCCAGCCAGCCAACCAGCCAACCAGCCAACCAACCAACACAACCCAACCAACCCCATCTAACAGCCCCATTTGACGGGTGTTGAAGAACACTGACCTTTTGTCTTGCGATCCGCGTAGATCCGCCCATGGAAAACCACCGAAGGTGCCGCCTCGGCAGAGACCGCGGAATTGCTGGCCTTGGCGGGGCGCAGCGTTTGCGAGGAGTTGCGAGGCTGTGCAGAGCTCGCATGCGGTTGGGGGTGCCCGCTCGGTGCGGAAAAGCGGTGTGCGGAGCGAGAGCCAGCCCGCAGACCTCCCGTGCCCTGTATCCCTTCTGCTTGAGGGACGCCCTTTTGCTTCGAGTGTTTCTGCGTGGGGGGCCCTTGACTTTTGCAAGAGCATGCGCCATGAGCCACGGGGAGGGTCCATGGACTGCCAAACTGCTCATCCCCAAATCGAAGACAGAACTGGGGAGGGGAGGGGAAAATTGAGCGTCCAAGGAGGCTACCTCCTTTGATACCTACCGTACCACTGAAGTCCTCTTCAAATAGAGAAAGTAGTCATAGGGTTAGGAGTCCCACTTTGGTATTGGGTATCACAGAAAGCGTGAATTCAAACAACCACGGCGTGTGTTGAGATGAAAGGCGTGAACGGGTGTGGTGACCAGCGTCAGTATGTTTAGGACTACGGGATGGTGTTGTGTTGTGAGTTTGTCAGTCAGGGGTGTATTCTTTAAATGTGACCTGAAAGTGTCGGATTCCCCTCGAAATGCGGCCGGTCTTTTCCTCCCAAAAACTTAGGTGAGATCTGTCGCCTTCACAAAAACTGCGATGTGAAGGACTGGACGGAGCTCAGGAACGAGAAGATCCAGATTCGACCTGAATCTAAGGCCGGCCAGCGAGGAAGCCTCTGTTTCGAACATGTGGCCGCCACTGTCTTGATAATATGGGTATGAGCCAAAATGAAACCACCAGGATATGGACCGCAGGTTTTCGTCCATGGTTCCATTTGCTAGGGTTCCATTTTGGGTGCCCATTCTTGACCCACAGCCATATTCTTGACGGCTTGTGGCTTGCGTATTTGATGGTTGCTTCTGTCTATTCTGTTCATTTGGAGCGTCTTGTGCTGAGAATGGGAACCCGTTTTGAGGTTGTCTTGAAGGAAACCGAGGCCCGTTTCGCGTTCCCTCGAAGGCTCCAGGAATATATTCCAGCCGAACGTGCGAAGATCTTGACTGACCATAGGAATTGGTGCATTGGTTGCTGAGGCTTGGGACATGGGGAAATCAGGAGGCTCACTAGTTTCCCAGTGCGGAAACCTCATTTTTGACCCTGGCTCAACAAGTATGCAAGCAATAGTAAGGAGAGCGGTGCAGAGGTGTTGAGAGCTGCTTATATGCCAGATATTTGCACGCCTCGGGGAAATATCAAACGCGCCCGTGTCAAATGACCTGACTTATCTAACCATACGCCCGCCGTATGTATCTGGATTGAAGGGGGGGATGTACGGCTTCTTCATTGCGACTGGCATGAACAGCTAAGGGTCCTTTTCAAGCAGTCATTCAACTTTCTACAGACCGCACTGAGTTACTGCTTGGAATGGCATTGGCCACGGCTTTCTTGGCTTGCCGAATGTTTGCAGCATGATTTCGACCCGGAGAAAGAACCCCCTCAAGGTTGGCACAGGTTGACTATGTAGAGGTTTGGCCTTCCTGGTAATCCGTACCTTGTCAGTGCTCTCCAATCCTTTTCTGTTGTTGCCAGCGACTGGCCAATGAGACTGCAATAGGATGGTCGAACAAGGCCGGAATGCGCCTTCAATGAGACATTATTTGATAGCACTGTCGTTTTCTTGATGTATCAAATGAAATTGGTGCGCCTTGGACACTCAAAGGACCTAGCAGCGGCAAACGCTTCAGACAGCAGTGGCTTTGGCAGTTTAACGCTTGTTTCTTGCTTGGGGCTGGAAACGGAGTCTTTCGTCAGGTGGGCGTTTGATTGGTGCCCGAACGGGATTCGGTCATTAGTTGGCCAAGCTTGAGGATTCCTTCGAAATTGTATTAACGAGCAGCCAGTTGGTGAGGAAACAACCGCCATTGTTTGTGTTTTGTTTTTGGGTGAATCGATCGAGATCGTTGTTTTCTGACCCCATTTACTTGGTGGGATGCTTGTAGCCGCATTGCCAGCAAGTGCATGGCGCGGGAAAAAACACCACTGTGCACTTTGTAGCCAAGCACGGACCTGTCCTTCTCCGTGAAAGAGAACATGTGTGCGAATTCTTCCTTTGGCTTCAGCCGTGCAGGTGGCAGCTTCAGCAGACGAATAAACCCTGCTCTTTCACCTAACATGGGACCTCACTCGGTCCTCCTGGACGACAAGTGTTCTCCAAAAAGGGAACTTAGTTCCATGTTTGTCGCTGGGAGAGAACCTCATGACATGTGCATGACTACCTGCACTTGTATAGGCAGGCTTCGTGCAGTTTCGCATATCACCCCTGTTGGCTGCGCCAGCTGAGGTGACGCAAATGCACTGGTCGGACGATGGAGAGTTCAAACCTTAGCTGTTGATCCATTATTCGATGCGCATTTGCTTGCTTGCTGCTTGCTTTGCCGCTCAAAAGGCAAGTCTTGCAACAGGGGCAACATGAACAAGAGGACTTACCCCACAACCCCATTATTTTGCGTATTTTGAATGTTTTTAGAGAAGGAAAGTAGCCCATTCTTCTCTTAAACATTCCAGATTTTTAAGCCCTTGGATTCCTGCTGTTCCAGGGGTTCTTGCCAAACACATGCAGCACAATTCCGATCCTCGCCTTCAAGCCACTGAGACTCCGCTTTCCGTTTGCTTTTGAGCGGGTTCCGAGTCAATTCATTCAACACACCATGTTGTTTGCTTTCATAGTTAGTTTACATAGCGGATGGGCAAGTAAGAATTGCAGGGGCTTGGAGTGGCAGCATAATTTGCGTGTTGAGTGCTTTTGATTGCAAAAGGCGAGGTGGCGCTGCTAGCCAAGAGTCAAACTCCGTAACACGGCTTCGGACGCGTGGGCACGAGTCGCTTACGCCGTGGAGAGTGATGGACAACCACCAGCTCTATAGGGTTGTGTCCCATTTTGGAGGGGATGCTTCACTTTGCTTCAGTAAAGCAGCTCCTGTTCATTTGCTAGGCTATTCATCCGGGTCTAAGATGAGATTTCTCGAGTGGCTCCTGGGTTGCGCATGGATTGGTCGCTTCCGGGTTGCCCTCAGGTACTCCTGTGCGAATGAAGAGAAGGTACCCAGCACCATGCATTTTAAGGGTTTCACCCTTTTGGGTTCCATGTTAATTTGCGGGGGGAACAACGCTCTGCGCTCACCTGGGTGTGTGGTTCGTTTGCGGATACCCTTCTTGTTTTCTTTACCTGCACCTTCATTTGAGCACTTATTTTTGCTCGATGTGGTTTGTCACACTTTTTCTGGCCGACTGAGCAAATATGGGCCGGTTGGGCCGAGTTGGAAGGAAAATGACCGATTCTATGGAAAAGGGTCGTGGCTATCCTTGCAGGCTGTTGTTTTGCATGGACGGCCAGCAACTGGCTTGCTCTGCGGGTGATGATCTGTTTGCCCTACCCGGACAATACTTCTGGAGGGGTTCGCCAGCTGATGAGGCAACAGAGCTGGTTTTGTGTGATCCCGCAATTCTAGATTTGACCACTTTTTTGAGATTTGTGTCCGTTTGCGGGTTTTTGCGTCCGTTTTGCGGGTTTTCGCGCCGATTTGCGGCATTCTTGGGGCGCCATTTTGCGCAAAAACAGCAAATGGTCAGACCAAAGGCCAATTCTTGCTTCCAATTCCTGTCCCTGTCCGGCTCCACTTCTTAACGGCACGAAATTCAGGATTTGCAACTAAACTAGGCGGTGCCTAGAGCCGCAGGCTCAGCTGCCCCAAAAATGCATCACAGGTAGGAAACGCACTGTTTTTACAAAAAGTGTTCGTTTCTCAGAAAACTGCTCGATTGTGACAACGACCAGTTTTGAAGGCCACTTCCAGAAAAAGTAGTCGATGTCCCAATTGAACAAAAACAGGTGACCGCTTGATGCTGCAGGTATATCTTGAATGGAATCCAACAGGAACATAAAAACAACATTTGGGGGTTCCCATGAAACAATTCCAGGGCCGGTATTTTCTCCAGACTCCGCCTCAGGCTGCTGTCCTTCTGTACAGAGGCTGGCTGGGCCGCGCACTTGGCGAGCCATCAGAACCTGCGGCCAAAGGGCTAAAACAATCAGAATGGGGTGGGGTACTCAAAGATATGTAGTCATGTTTTGAGGGGTAGACAGATAGTAGTTGGCCTCTTGTATTATGGGGGGCAAGAAGCCCTTTTGACTCTTGATCAGTGATCTTGTTCTCGTGAATACTAGTTTTCATTTGGACTGAGCAGCCACCAGAAAGACATCTACGGATGCTACGGATGGTGTGTTCTTTTGCCTGCTTTTGGAGGGGAGCGCCGCCGTTCCAAGTTGCCAAAATGGGTTCCTGTTTTTCCCCGAGGGCCCATTCACGAGAACAAGTATCAACGATGGCTTGTGTGCAGTGTGCACCCTTGGGTGAACACGTTGGGGGCAGACAAGATGGTGTGGTTGTGGCCCCCATTAAAGCCGGCGCACCGTGACACTTCAGGGGCTGCCCGCGTACGCGTTGCAACGTGTAGTAGGCAATATAGCCATAATATAGCAGTATCTTCCGACGTGGACGGTCTTGAAGCGGGGCCCATGTTGCGTTTTCTCAGTTGCAGTGGATTGCTTGCTAGCTGCGACGGTTTTGGCTTCCACGTGTCAAACGCAACGCTGAACAAAGTTCACTCCCGCAGCAAGAAACGACAGACAGATCCCCAACAACCCAGCGGCGCCCACCCCCTTCCCCTCAAAATGCGTTTTTGTTTCGATCTTCCATGGGTTTCCACTCATTTTGAGGGTTCCCCTTTGCGACACACCCAGGTATACTGTTTCCTCGCCAAGCTCACCGCTCTCTCTGGCACCTGCAACACTCGGCGCGATTCCGAGCGATCCATTCGAGCCGGAGCCGATCTTACGTTCTGAAATGGAGGTGCTGTTGCTTTTGGAGGCACCCAATTTGTCAGGTTGGTGTTGAGGGAAGCAAAGGCACAGGCAAAAATGGATGTGTGTCTTTGGTACGTTGGTACCCTTTGTTCACCTTGGTTTTCAGGGACGACAAGCAAACCACCCTAGTTTCCCCGTGTGAGCAACGGAGTACAGTATATTCAGTGTCATCTTTTGTAAAGGAGATGACATGGGGACATGTCAAATTACCATTAGGATATGGGAGGTTGTTCACCAATGTCACCCCCCCCAAGGCCTGCAAAACGGGCACCCTCAAAGAACGACACCCATTTGTACAGAAATCTGGCTGTTTCGCCCCCTGCACATGGAGGCGGAGGGGCGCATGTTTCCCAGTTGTTCAGAACATCAATTGACTTACTTGCGGTGCAAGGTGTTAGACAGTGCATTTTAGCCAAGAATGTCCTTGTTGGTAAGGTTGGTTGAAAGTTGGTGTGTTTAACTGGTTTCAGTTTGGCTCTAAGCATTCACCAATGTCATTTGCTGGGCTGCAAAAGGACGCCTGGGATTTTAGCCCATGACTCAGGTTTATCCTTAGTTGGTGGTTTGTACTTGTGGTTTGGTGGATTGAAACCCTGGTTCTTAGTAGAGGGTACATGAGAAACCAACCCGCAACCTCCAAACTAGAGGAAAGCTGAATTGACGCCTGGCTCAAGGCTGGCGTATTTGACCTCCCTGCGGGAAATGACGGTCATCGAGGGCATCAACGAGAACGAGAACAAGGTACACGGTCTCTCGAGACCCTTAGGGCGATGGAGTTGATTGCATTCACGAACCCGGTTGGAGGTTTCACCACACCCCTGGACCAATCCCCTTAAACCCCCAATACTAAGGAGTCAAGGGGTAAATCAAGGGAGGGTCAAGGAGCCAAGGCTGAAGTGTCTTTGGGGTCTGAGTCCCCAAAAACGACGTTGTCAACCTCTCTCGACTCCGGTGGAATGAGTCTTTGCAAAAGATTTGCGAGGGACACCTGAGGGTCAAGGTGCCATGGGCAAACCAAAGGCCATAGACGCCACTCGTCTGTTAGTAGAGCCCTTGATCGAAGGGTCTTAAGATGCTTTAAGAACCTTTGGCAGGGGTCTGGCTTAACTCCGGGACCACCCGCATGCCTCCAAGGGTTACTGATGTCCCTGTCCCTCTTGTCCGGTCAGGCGCGGTGGACTTGGAGAATTTAGACAAACTTAGGGAAATAATGATGGAGCACAATGGACATGTGACCAAGGGAGCGCAAACTGCGAAGCCACATTAGGAGGAATTATCAGATCCCTTGTTCAGTGTCTTGTGGTAAGAATATATATCGGGCATGTAAATCAATGCAATCCGCGGCTGTTCTCAAGGTGTCTGAAGCTTCGTGGGGATCCATGATTTGACAACCAGCTAATGTGCCCTGTTGCAGCAATCCAGGTTATCCTTGAGGGTCCTTTTCGGGCCTTTTTGGTCCCTTTTCAGTCCTGTTCAGGATTGGTTGAGACCTGGTTTAGAGCTGGTCTAGCTCTTGTTTAATACTGTTATTTGGTTAGCTCTTGCTTAATACTGCTTTGGTTCTGGATCGGATTCGGTCTGGCATTGGTTTAGTATTGGCTCACTATTGCTTTTTGCTAGTAAGCCCCCGGGTTGGAATTGACCTGGTATTGGTTTAGTACTGGTTTAGAATTTGGTGGTGGCTTGGGGTTTGTTTAGTACTCAGCATGCTTTGGGCAAAAAAGACTTCACTGGACGAGTGGTTACTGGGACCCTCCCTATTTTCTGGTCATAGACGGTGCCCAAGAAGTACCCTCTGAAGATGATCGGGGCCCGATATGAGTGGCGTGTGTATCCTGTGTTTGTTGAAGATATTTGACAGTGTCTCAGAAAAGTGGTACCAAAATGGCACCAACAGGTAAATGGAACCAAAGACCAAAGCCGGCGTAATTTACCCTAGCTCCTTACATTTTGAGCCACCCCCATTTGTGCAAGCAGAATTTGCTGGCTGGTCCAAGCCTGGCATAGGTTTAGAAGGCCTTTTTGTAGCGGAGAGCACTGAGAAAGCTGCTGAGTGATCGATCCGGACCAAACATGGCGCGAGAACTGGCCTGGCGGACGTTCAGAGTCAGAGCAGTCAAAACACGCAACTCGTTTCTTAAGAGGGTTGCCTTGGCTCACAGATTCCTTGGCTGTTCCTAACCCGGACTACTGCTTTGAAGAGGGTTTCCCTGGGCCGCTCGCAGATGCGGCAAAGCGGCTTTTGCCAGACCTTTCCACATGCTGGGTCCCTCCCGGTTCGAGCGTTGGAGACGTCACCTTCCCGATCTTTTGGTCTTTGGCCCCAAGTTCTGTAGCCTTACTTTCACCAAGAGTACATGTTCTTTTCCCTTGGTTTTAATAGCGGAATCCATCCCTCATATTTCTTCCATTTTTCTTTCGGGGCTTCAGATAAAAAAAACACCTTAGCCCCTCGCTGGTCCACTCAATGGGAAGGTGGTGATCAACACAGACGTGGAGCCCGCCTTCGTGGCCTTGGGGCCCTCGCACTTAGCGCCCGGGTCCCCAAGCTGCGCCCCTCTGCCGCGCCTGGAGAGAGGGGCAACGCACACCAAGCCATTGGCTTGACGTGTTCCGGTTGAGGATGAAGCCTTTTCTCCTTTCCGGCGCGAGAAGGACAGTTTTTGTTTGACCGTTTTTTTTTGTAGGCGCTAGGCACCAATGAGCTCACAAGCATAGGAATAGGAATACAGCGACCTGATTTTGTTGGGTTCATTCGCTCCTGATGGTGAAGGGATTCGTTGGCTGGTGAATTAGATTTGACAAGATGGGAAGTCGCGGGCCAAAAAAAACAACTCTTGGAGTAATTATTGGTTCCAGATTGCAACAAGTCAGTTTTTGCAGCGGTGAAAGGACTCAAACAAGGAAATTATGGACCGCGTTGAAGCCTGCGTGAAACGGATCATTTGTCATTTGCTGCCTTTGTGATTCGAGAGGTGGGGTATTCCATACTTTGACTAAGCTGTCGACCTGGGTTGTCAGTGACCACACGCTCAGCTAGCTATCTTGCCACCTATATGATGATGGGAATTGCACGAACCCTTTTGGCCAAACTACAGTCCTTTTGGAAAAGACCCAGTGCACTTCCTTGTTTTGTGGGAAGGCACCGGCGGCAACACGACCACAAAGCCGAACTATCAGGGACTAAATAATTGGAACGGGTTGCGGGATACTTTGAAACCAAGTCAAGTCATCAGTTTTAGACAATACTGTGTATAATTATTTCGATATTTTGAGAAATTCAACTGGTGTTCCCTACCCCAAAAGGTTTGATCTGAACCAGGATTGGGGTGTGCCTTCACAATACGCACCTGTTCAAACGATATATGTTGAAAAGCCTGGCTTTCCAGTCGGCAACTTTGTTTCTAGTCGGGGATTGACCTCCACCCCCGTCATTGGACAACTGAGGACCGGCATGAACAATCGAATTTGGTTCTACTCTTGCACGGACCAGTCCACTGCGCAGTGCGTCAACGAGCAGGACCTACGTTCTGTGCAGAAATCGGGGCACATTCCGGCCGCGGGTTTTGCGGCTCGGGAAGGGAAAGGCCCTTTCACATCCGTGGGAGATACAGGGACCTCCCTCATATGGGTTTGTCTCAAAATAGGATTGCCCAGAAGATGGTCGGTGCAATCACCTGGCTGCCGTTTAACAAACCATAACAAGGACCCGCTAGACAAAGGAACCGGGTCAAAAGGCATCTCAAAGCCGTGGCTTGAAAATATGGGGACCCGCAACAAGTGTTGGTTTTATTCGCAGGCCTCCAGTGGGTTTCCTTCCCTTTTGCACCTTTAAGACAAGTTGCCGAAAAGGGGTTCAGCTTCAACCATGAAGCTGGTCGAAAGGTCAACATTGTAAGGATCCCCCTATTTGGGAACGTGCTGGGTTCCAGGGAAACAGAGGTAAGCCCGCTTTTCAAGGGAGCGCTTGCAGAGGGGACAAATCTCTGCACACTGTCCAGAAGTGGGCCCGCTTTTGGATGTCTTTTTTTATGTTGACTTCAAAAATGGGGCGAGGCACACTCCAGGTTTTGGAGACGCCCAGTCAGAGAAGCAAAGAAGCAGTAGCTGCGAACGGGGATAGCATCTGTCACTTAACGGACTGCCGCGCACCTTGGCCTAGGCCAAGTTACTGCTTTTGTTGCCGGACACTTCGCTCTAAAAAGCAGTTGCTGCTGTTGAGCAGCAACCGACGATCCAGGAGGGCGATGGTTTTCCGAGAGGAACAAAAGGGCCCCCCAAATACCCTTCTGTTTCCGAAAGGGGTCTGTGCGAACCACGTGTGTCTGCTTTTGCAGACTTTCAGACAAGCCGGCATATCCTTTGCTCAAATTACACCAGCATAGACCCCAGATAGCGAAAACTGCACCTGCACCCCACACTGCGTGCCCCTAGCCCTGCCGTCCGTCAATCTCGCACAAACGCGCCGGTGCCATCACCAGCATCCAACACCCCGAACAGCACCCCCCAAGAACTCCCCGAGCACCCGGCTGTCAATCCTGCAACAATGCGCCTGCAGCGTCACCTCCCCAAACAGCACCCCAAAAGCAGCACCATCAGCAACCCAAACTGCATACCTGCCGCCAATCTAGCACAAATGCGCCGTCGCCGTCACCAGCATCTGCAACACCACCCCAAACAGCCCCCAACACAGCACCTGCCAAACTGCATGGCCTCCTAGCGCGCGGTCGTCAATCTCGCAAACATGCTTTGCAAGCAAGCAACCCAAAACAGCACCTGCACCAGCACCCCAAACTGCACGCCCCTAGCACCCTGCCGTCAATCTCGCAAAAATGTGCACGCACTGTCAGCAAGAACCCAAAACAGCACATGCACCAGCACCCCAAACTGCATGCCGCCTAGCAACCAGCCGTCAATCTCGCAAATCGCTTTCTCCTCTCTACTAGTTAGAACCCCTATAGATCTCAGCTATCTGGGGAATAGCAGCGACCTGGCCGATCGGCAATTAGCCGACCGGGCCATGAGCCGCCTTAACGAGGGGAGTATCCCTTCTTTCAGGGTAACGGTAACGGGGCATTGGAATTCACCCAGAAGGCAAGTTGCAGGGCTTTCCTGGTGTCCGATGTGCACTTTGTGTGGAATGAACCGGAATTTAGGCTAAATAGGTACACGCATCACTATCCGACAACAAGAACTAAGATAATTTAAGGCACCCCACAGCCAAATTATGTTTCTTTCGATCCTTTTTGTCACTTTTTGATTCAGGCTACTTCAACCAGCTTTTTGACGCAAATTGCTTTAGAGATCGGAGAAGCGCGCCGAGGGTTCTTCAATCCGCGGCCGGTTTTTGGACCTGTGACCTCCCTGTACAAGGAACAATGCAGGGCATCGATGTCTCTTTCGAATGCTGCGCATGAACGCATGGGAATTCGTTTGGCCCTTTTGGTGGTGGCCTTTCCATAGAGCAGCCATGCATAATGGCTAAATTGCTTTTGAACGTAGTTTAAGGGTTTGTACCTTGGGTTTCATACCTGCATATGATACACATAATATATATATATATATACATACATAGATTGACATTCACACTTCTTGTTGTGAGTCGCTAGATTTCAAATAGATGTGAATGGGAAACCGACGCCCGATGTTGGGATCCTTCATGTGTTATTTTCAATCAAGCGAGGAGTACATCGGCAGTGTGGAGAGCGTCAGTCTCAACTCCACCCACGCCTGCGTGCTCATCGACGGACGCGTGTGAGCCAATGGGAGCGGATGGGTTGCTTCAAACCTCATGCGCAAACCACGTCCGGATTGAACATTGGCAGAAGGAGTACTCTTGCTTTCCTCTTTCAGGGGCTATTTGATTTTCTGCTACCCTTGTGACTGGGCCTTTGCAGCAGGGAGCACGCGGGAAGTTGAAGGCGCTATCTTTTTTGAAAGACTCTACCATTGGCAGGCACATTGGGCCAGACGTTTCCACAGCCGGTGTTGCTCGATGAACCCGTCTGTTTTTCAACACCAGTCAAAACGCAGGGGTCTCCCAGGTCGGTAGCATCGGAGGCCATGCGTTTCTGGTCCCACCTAAACTGGCATGCGAAGAGTGCTTGCGTGTGCCACAGAGTTCCCTGTGCGGCTTGTGTTGTTTGGAAACAGCACCTTTGGGCGTCACACGACCAGGGCACTCCAGAGGGCAAGGATTTGCGACCGCAGGCCACTCTAAAGCGAGTTTGCTTTTGGTTGGGTGCATGGTAAAAGGGGGACATACGGGGAATCCTGTCTACATGTTTGCCTGGCTGCTATAACTCGAAATGGGAGCTTTGGTCAAAATGTCCAGTACTCGCCAACTTTCCCACAAGATAGTGTCAGGGCACTAGATCAACGTCCCACGTTCAGTAGGGCAACAGTTCATGCAGGCTCTGAAATCGTTGGAATCCATACGGCGCTCCGAAGCGCTGTGGATACACTGCAGTGGTTCCTGGGCAAAGTAAATACCACCCCAATCCTTGCATAGAATGAGTCCAGAACTCGGCTGCGGCTGACCGAAGGATTGGGTTCGCAGGATTGTCACCTATCCAAGAACAAGCCTCCTTCGAAGTGGTTCGAGAAGGGTAGACCAGGGTCTCTGTTTTCGAGCGATTTGCACATTGCCTTTATTGGGCACATTGAAATAGAATATGAGTTTCGTAAAGGGGACAACTGAGTCACTGCAAATACTGTTGGTGGTCCACTGTTGGTTTGGGGAGGACATTGGGTACAACCCAAATTCCAACAAAAAAGCAGGGTGACCACCATTTGCCCATGCCCTCTTCCGGACAACAAGTAATTTTGTCCAGCGTGGGAGTCTAAGAGGCTCTATAAACTTCAGGACTCCATTGGATCGCCCACAGCTTTTCACGCCAGACCCATTGGGTTTTGCCGAAGCCAAAAGCGTCAAGTGCGGCACTCCACGTTGGTGCTTTGCCGCGCTTAGCGGCTGGAGCATGCTGGCCGCGCGCCGCTCTGCAGAAGTCAGGAGTTGAGACATGGTTTCTGTTCAATGGGGATTTAGGGCTGCTTTCTTCAGTACCAAGGCACCAAATCATCTCTTTGATTGAACGTGGCAAAGTGTCTTGGGGATGGCCCACTGGCCCACTTTGGTATCACAGAAATGCTGATGATTGTTCGCAACCATGAGGCGCGGTTTTGAGAAGTCAGCGCGTGAGGCCCCTGGAACAACCACACAAAGGAAGGGGGCGGCAAGATGCATTTCCTTTGAACAAGCCTAGCCCAAAGTAAGGGCTGGGAAATTGTCCAAACCCAAGCCTCATGCCGTTCTTGGCGTCAATTGTCCTTAGGCTTCTTGTTGGGTATCGTACCTACGCTTTACCCCCATTGACTTCGCAGCGCATTGGGTTGAATATTACAACCACCCCAACCCTTGCAATCGATACTGTTTGTCCAAGGATAAAATCGTGGCTGCAGAAAACTGTACCATGCCGCGCTAAGTCTAGATGTACAGATTGGACCAGAGATTCCGAGATTCTGGATAGCACGTCTTACCAATCCAGACAAACAGTTGTGAATGTGTTAGTTTCGGAGCCGCTTTCAGTGCTACTATGGCTACCATGGAGGAAACCGCTTTTACCGTGACACCGCAGTCATGAGGGTGGCCCCAGTATCACAGAAAAGGTCACATTCCACAACCACGCTGGCCACGAAGGGTACTTTGGCACCAGCATAATGAATTCAACAATATATAGGGGGCTCCAATATATTTCAGTGACCCTACGACCGCCCCCACAGACATGCCCCGCGGTTAGGGTTTATATGCCTTGCTATGGGACTAAGCCCTTGACGGTCCGGTGACCCCGAAACAGGACCATTTCTTGTGGCTTTTTTCTTTTCGGGTCCAGGATTATTCTGAAAGACCCCGAAATTGATTCTTCACTGAGAACCAGAAGCAACGCATTGAGATTGTGAACCAATTTTGGCCTCTCCCGCCTGACTCGCTCAGGCCGTGTGGCACGGTTTGCGTCGTCCATGGCAGGCGGGTTGGCGGTGCAGAGCCGGTTGCAAACCTCTCCTGGTCCAGGTTTTCAAGCTGTATTGTTTTATTTTCTCCAAAACTACGCCAACAAGGGATGCATGTTTTAGCGTTTTCCAGACGACGCTTTATTTAGCACCCAGTTTCTACAACCAGGGGCTAGCAGGGTAAAATCTCTATCATGGCTCTGGTTGTGCTCTTCTGAGCCTGGCATTTATGCCGATGGCACGCCTGGCTTCCAAGGCAGCAAGCCTTTCCTGGCGCGCGCGCGCGCATTCGTCTGAATCAGCCGGGGATGCGCCAAAGTGATCCGCCTAAAGGAGGTGAGTGGTACGACAACCATAGTTTGTTTCCCATTTCTGCCTTCTTTCTCAGGGCACCCTCGGAGGAGCGGTTATTGATCAGTGGGTGGGTTATTGATCAGCCAACATAAGATGATTTTGTGATAGTTACCCACTTTGAGGTTGCCCCCCAAAAGAAAAAAGTGTAGTCTTCCAAAACCATTTGATCGGCAGCTTCCATCATTGGAGGGACGGTTTCAAAGCGCGGTGCTTGTGGAGCGGAAGGTTTTTGGTTGCCCGCAAACCTGTGAGTGGCCAAGGGAGACCGTCCTTAGAGGTATCGGAGGGGTAAAAGGATTGTTGACCTCAACCGTGATTCTATTTTTGTTTGTTTGCCTAAACATTGTGGGTTCCTGACGAACTAGCATATGTTTCAGATTATGTTCATGCGGTCAAGACTACTGTTGAGAGCAGTTCAGGTTGGCGTCGTCCAGCAGCTTCCACCCTGATCTCTCCACGACTGAATGCCTCGAGTCCTGCTCTCCAATTGGATTGAGCTGGTCAATGTGGAGCTGGCTGGGCCTCAAATCGAAGACGGTGCTGTTCACTGAAATTAGGATTGCGGCAAACCGTCAATGGCGGAGAGAGATCATTTCTGCAGGCGGGCCCATGATGATTGTGTTTGGAGCAATAGCTTTCCGCGTTATGGACAAGATTCACTTCGCGCCCTCGACGTGCCGGATGACGGCGGTTTTGATCCCTGTCGTGATGTCGCTTGGAGGATCAGTCCAGTCCTCGAACCCTGCGCAAGCACTTGTCCTTGGCGGGGTACAGTTCCATTAGCAAACCACCGGGATTTTCGTTTTTTGGCGACATTTCTTCGCTTGAGATGCAGCCAATCGTGACGAAGGGCACTGGGGCATTATGTGACTGATTCTGGGGGGGAATCTAGGATTGCTTGCCTTTCATGTATGGGGGGGACTTTGGGAGTGCCAAGTAATTTGTCCGGCCCTATGGGACATTTCTTCTTGTTTGTGGGCGCATGTCCAGTGCCACGTCCAACTTCAAGGGAGCGGTTCTTTGCAGATGTTTAATGCTTCTGTCAGGTGCTGGTATTTTGCGTTGTTAATGCAAACACACCCTAAGGGTCGTTTAGTCAACATGGGTCACGTATGGGAGTGTACAGGTGCAACCACACCCGAGGGGCCCGAGGGGTTCAAGTACTTTTTGACGGACTTGTCCAATACATTCTGAGCTGGTACTTGGACCATTGGGTTTGCAGAGGGGTTGCAAACGTAAGGGATGAATTTCTGGCGCTTCCCCGTTGGTTTGCCCGTCAAGTCTTGCACTTGCGCTTCTCCCGCGATCACCTGCCGGCTTTGCTTGGAGCGGGTGGTTAGGCCATCAGTTAAACCCCATTTCAGAGGTCCCCATGTACGGGCACGTCAGGGGCCATGTACGCTCCATGGGCCATTGGGTGCATTCAGATGAGTCCAGGGTCTCGGCGTGGTTTAAACTTCTCTAACCCAAAGAAAGGCGGGAAACAACGAATCAGAGAGCAACCTCCTTCAGGCCACTGTTCACGTGCTCCACTTGATTCTTGTCCTCGGAACCTAGCAGCAGCACTGCTCCCTCTCTGGAGATGTGCTGGTTTTGGGCCAACGTAAGGGTTCCTTGGTGGGTCAAAGTCATTGCGTTGCTGATCGCGCTTCTCTGAGATCCTTGTCGCTGTGAAACAAGCTGGATTTTCGTCGCGGAAACACATCCTTGAGAAAGTACCAAGGCATCCTGAGGGTCAGGCATATTTCTTGATCCTTTTATCCTCTTTGCGTGGGCGTGTGTCTTTAGTGTGTACTTGTTACTTTTGTTGGCATATATGTATGTTTCAGTCTGTTCTTGGTTTGGCATGGTGTGACTCTGTACTTGTCGGTTTGTGTGACTCTTTGTGTGTCTTTTTCAATCCCACCCCCCTGAAGAACGTAATCGGGGAGGGGGGGTTGACCCCTGGATTTCCATTTATGCTTCCATATTTTCCTTTTCTGGGGAAGACTTGATAAATGCAATAGACGACCCCCCCCCCCCCGCCCCCACCCCCCTCCCCTCTTGGGGGACGAGGCGAGGGCTTGAAGCGGCGCCGGGTCGAGGCGCCGTTTTTGCTGGCGCAAGGAGGGGGCGAGTTGGAATAGACTTTACTGTAATTCACTTCCATTTGAGGTCCATTTGGCTTAAGAACAGTTTTGTTGTTGTCCCTTGTTGGTGTTTGAGCACTTCATGTTGCTTAAGAAGAACTTTGTTGGTGTCCCCTGTTGGTGTTCAGGGGAACATAGCACGACTGTGTTTTGTGTTGCAGAGGACTTAAGCAAATGGAAGCTTTCGAAGGTTTGGATTGGTTTGGATTGGTGGTGGCCGCTTTCGCAAGAAATGAATTCAAAAACGAGTTGCCAGGACTTAGGCGCTTTGAGGGAAACCCTAAACCACCCGTTTGGGCATTAAGGGACACAATTTATGTGGAAACCACCAATTTGGTTTAACATGTTAAGCAACAAACAAAACCGTGTGTGTGCGCCGGGTTGAAGCTAGCTAGGTGGGAACAGTTCAATTGGGAACCCCTGGGGCCGAGGATCATTTGATGGAAACCCAGCAAACCAACTGGTGTGGATCCATAAGGCAAACCAACTGGTGTGGATCCATATAACGCCACTCTCATTTGGGTCGCTTTTTGGTGACTGGCGTCCCAAGCCATTGGTGAATTGGCCAAGAAGCTAGGGTTTAATACGGGCATGGGTGTCAAAATCAAAGCACCCGGAAAAAGGGGCCGCAGGTTTTAGTCAACTTGTTTCCATCATCCAGGGCAACCCATTTTGGGGTTGCCCTGGCACGTTGCTTCAGGTGCCCCTGCGGGTGGGCCTGGTCGGCTTGGGCTCCATTGGCCAGATGGTGGCGCAGGCGGGGCTTTCGCTTTGCAGATCCCTGACAGTTGGAGTCGGGATTTGCCCAGATTCCAACACCCCTGGTTGAATGTCCTATTGAAGATGGAATCCGGATCACTTCTTGGGGGAAATCACTAGGTGTATTCATCCGGGGTCAACATGAATTGGCAAATAGCTGAAGCGCTGTAAAAACATGTATATCTAAATACTTATGGATCTGGGTGAATGATATTTATGCATAATATATCACATGTTTCAATTTATGCCCCTTCAGGATCCAAGCAACTACTTTCCTGTCGATGCAATTTGAGCCACTATAAACTGTACATGCATTATGGCTGCTGTTTAGGTGTCGCAGATCAAGTGGCCCCCAGCGGTGTCACAACGAAGCCGGATCCTGGCAAAGGCACAACAGGCAAAAAAAATCGGACCCGTTTCCTTCGGGGATTTAAACGGGGCATGTGAGGAATTTGAACATCCTCGTTTGGTTGCCATGTTTGGGTTTGAGCTTCCTTCCAGTGATGTTTAAAGGGGACAGATACGGAATTCAACAGATCACAAGTTGCTTGCCATTATAGATTGAGTTTCCTCGCTAAAGTTGGGGCGCATTTCAAGACATGTGTTTGATGTCCTTCAAAAGCATCCATACGCATTACACAGATCCATTCCCATTGGAACCGCACAGTTAAAACGGTAAGGCCCATGGAACCCTGGTCCAAGTTTGAAGTCTGTCCGAGTCCCCGCCCGAACGACAAGTTCACCAATCTGATTCACTCCTGGAATGGGAGCAGACGTGGAGCTTTTTATGACGAGGTCACCGATTCGAAGATCAGATGTAGGTCCAGCACGGCATTCCTTTCAGGTTTGGCAACTGTGCAACAGACCCACTCACCTCCTATCCCCCTGCCTGGTCGCAGACGCTCACGCAGCCGGATGGGCAGCGTGGTGGCAATAGGGTCATCTAGGGAACCGGGAACGCCCTCAATTGTTTTTGGGCGGACACATGACGCTGGACACAAGACGCTCTTAAATCTACATCCACCACATTTGAAAAGCAAGAAACACGACAACACATGCGCATGCCGTGGTAGTGGCCGCTGGCTGGCTGGTTGGCAGGCTCTCACATGGGCTACCTGTTTGGCCTGTCCACAAATCCAAAAGTCATAGTCTGTTAGGCAGGGCGCACAATGGCACTATGTTTGTTGATATGTGGATATGTTCCCAGTTGTGTACTGCAATCCCCCGTTTTTTTCTTTAAAAAAAAAAAAAAAAAAAAAAAAAACAAGAACAAATAAAGTCGAGTAGGACAATGCAATCGGCAACGCGCGTAGATGCGAGTGGCAAAGCGTGCGTGGCCAGGGCAGACAAGCGACACGTCAGCAAAAAGCGCATATCTTGCAGCAAATTTATTGAGATTATATAAGCTATGTTGGCAATTGTGTGCGAACCAAGCCATTATTTTGCAAGCAGACAAAGCGACACGCAACACATGTTTGTTGCGTTTTGGGGAGCTCTTAAAGTCACCAGGTTTTGTTTATGGTTCAATACAATAACAAGGAGCCGAGCCTTGCCTCCCCCCCTTTGAAAGATTTTGCACCCTTCGATCAGAACGCTTCTCAGAAGACTTCTTTGAAGACTTCTTTCGTTCCTACTCCGGGGAAATCGGGGGGGGGGGGGGGGGGCTGCCACCAGTGCTGGGCAATCCGCAAAATTCTTCCCTTGGGTTCCATAAGCATGGGCGAACGTAAATGGCACGCTTTCGCGCTTTGTGTCTTCGTTATTTTTTTCTACTTACCGACATGAAGGGAATTGGTGCCATTTCGCTTCGCACTGTACCAAAGGATCTGGTTCCATGGGAATTTCTGGCTGACGATTCGCCACCGGGCGGCACAGCTGCGCCGGCTTTGCTGATTCCTTTCCGTGAGCTCAGTCATTTTGAGCGTTCTGAGATTTGTTCTCTCGGCTCTCGTCTGGGTGTTTGTTTTTTGAGGTTCTGTACTCTTTCCCTGGTTGGTTTAAAGGGAACCCATAAGACAAAAGCACTTCCTTTTTTCCGGTCATGTTCACCGGGTTTCATTTAGCAGATCCGAGTGAAGCTCCAGTTGCCAACCCGGTTCCGATGTGATTGACAAAGACCCGTTGCACGAAGACCCCAAGAACGTGCAGGATGAGCGGAGCCTGACCCATGGCGCATATCTTCAAGAGGGTGGATGTTGCATCCAGGATTGCTGATGACACATTGTCGAGACAATGTTCAGCAACAATAATGATGGTTATTGTTGGTCTTCTTAGAAATCTGTGACAGTTGTTTTTTTTTGTTTGAAGCATCTTTGTTCAGAGTGTTGATGGGAGCACAGGCATTACTTTCGCGTTCGCCGTTCCTGCATGAAATTAGTACGTGCTTGCAGTCAGTGAGTGATTCTGCTACTTCACTAGTCTTATTTTGTGTTGCTGCTAGCATGTTGGTTCTTTGGTTCTGTTTCTGTCAAGTCTTGCTACGAGGGCTGGATGGCTACAAACAGGCTGGTTTGGGATCATTTCCCAAGTGAAGCAAGGTTGCTATGGTAGGCTCATAGAATTTACCCAGATGGGAGGCACTGAGATCAATTTCCATAGCCAAGGGAGTTGCTTGAAAGTGAGCAAGTAGTTGCGGGGCGGGGAATGAAGCAATTTGGTATCGCAGAAAGCATGATGCTCCACAATTTGGGGGGTGTTTAAAAGACGATGTTTGGGACTTGGTTTAAGGAAATCCCTTTGGACACAAACCCATTTCATGTTGGGAGAGTTTCTGTACGACACATCGAGGCAGCTGCCGAATGTCGCCCTGGGGGCCGTGCTGGTCCAGAGGCTCAAGTGGCTCAGTAGGTGGCTCGCTATCGGTTGAACTGGGAGTAAAACCAGTGAACAGATATCTTACACGGATTTTGGGTTTTCGGTGAGTGGATTTGTGTTTCAAGAGTTTGGGGTTGGGGTGTGAGGCTTTGCTAAAAGCTTAAACAAACTGAAGGGTGTCTTTTTTCTCAGCTGTATTGTATCTCTCACGGAAAGAGAGACTTTGAGGCGCCGTAGATATGGCCATCATCGAACTGAGATACAGCTAAGTATTGGATGTAGGGTTTAGCGTGTTCGGGTTGAGTTTACTTGGGTGGGGTTTGCTCATCCAATGAGCTCGAATGTCTCTCGTACTTCAGTGGTTGGTGTTGTTGGATGTGTTTTTGCAGATCACGCTACAGGTTACTTTCTGCGGCCGCTTCCGTGACCGGCTTTTACCTGTCAGCAGCATCTACCCTCCAATTTGAAGCGTGTCAAACCTGGTTGATTCTGATCACGATTTTCCTCGGATGCGCTCCGCCTATTAAACAGGAGTTGGTATTCATGCGGGGTCAGCATCGCGCGAATATGTTCTGTCGTGCTTGACCACCACACTCAATTGAGACTTCAGGTCCTGAACGTGTTCCATCCTGCGCATGTTCTATCGTCAGTGGGTCATACTGAAATTAGCATATGCGCGCAAGTGTCCAATCATGATTGAATCTTGATTGATGTTGAGCAAGTGATTCAGCAGTGTTTGCCCTGAACATGACGCAGACAACATGATATTCAGGTCAGGGTTTCGAAATGTCTGTTGGTTTCCTTTTCGGTACAAACTACGTCTGGTTTACAGTGACCTGGCGCAGGACATTGATGGTTGTGGCACGTGGCACAGTGAATGCCGAATGCTGGCTTGTCGACGAGCAAATGTCACTGGATAGTTTTTGCTCGTGCCCCAAGCCGCCCTTCCGACGTTTTGATTTGTCAACTTTGGCAACAATTGGTCAATACCCCAAACGCTTAATATCGGGCAACCTGTTTTTTCCAGCGATGGCGGCTTGGCAGCCAAGCCCGGGTTTGGGGCAGCCTGGGGGGTGGGGGGGTGGGGGGGTCGGAAGATTTTGGGGACTGGCGCCTACTATTTTAGTTTCGGACCCTTGTTGGATCGGGGAGGCCCGAGCCGCACGTGTTTTGCTCCTGGCAGGGAGCGGCCGGAACGACCACCTGAGCTCGGCGACCAGGCTGAGTGCCTCGGGAAGTGACGCAGAGCATGAAGTGACTCCCACGTTGGTGGCAAACTCTTGAACTTCCTTGTCTAGGTCCTCCAGTAGTGCCCTTTTACTTTTTGGGGGAGGGTTCCCCTACTAAAATACACTACAGAAAAAGGGTACCCGGGTACCCTTATTTCTATCCTCTCTACTGGAGGACCTAGTTTTGTTCGGTGAGTTCACCACCAACGGTTGGATCAGCCCCCAGAAAAGGACCCCAATTCTTTTGCTACCAGATTCACTGGGCAAGTTGAGACTTTGGTGGACTTGGGCTTGTTTCACTTCAGCCCACCAGTACTTTGATCAAGTCTTGAAGGGCCTCCATTAGGGTGATTAACTCTACAGGGGAATGCAGTTCCGGGCTAATGTTGACCCAGGATTAATAAACCCGTCCCAGTATTAGGGGGTGTTCCCTCCAAAAGTGGATTGAATCCCCACTAAAAGGGGACCCACCCCTATTAGTCAACCAGGGGTTTATTAGCCCATCCCCACTAAGGGGACCCCCCCCCATTAATCCGGGGTTAGCATCAGCCAGTTTTCCGAGAACTCTCCGGGGCTCACCCGGAAGTGCTCGGTGCCAGGCGTTGCTGACCACCAGCGCGGAGGCGAGTTGCAGCGGGAGCTCAACGTTGGGGCAGGGGTTGCTGGTGCGATAGCCAGGGAAGGAGGGAATGAACCCAGGATTCCCCTGAAAGGAGGCCACCAGTTGGATGGTTGAAAATGGGGTCATTCCACTTCTCATTCCCTGCCTATCGCACCAGCAAGTAAATGTCCCAACCGGGCCGCATAAGAGGTTTTGAACCCAAGTGTGATCCTATCAATCCAAGGGCACCAGGACCCCCAAAAGAAGTTCTTTTCTGGAAGGGCTTGTTGATTCTTGACGGGGACTGCAACACGTCCCAAACTAGCTACAACCGCAACGGCCCGCCCAGGGTTGGGGTCTTAATCACCAAACAACTAGCGTTCAAGGGAGGGCTTTGGGTGCCTGAAAGTTTCATTTGTTTCTCGAAGTAGCAAAACTGTATTTGTTTGAACACTAGTCGACCCTTACGAGGGTAATTTGGGGTGGGGGCTTTAGGGTTGACTTTAAAGTGGATGATTTAAACCAACACAAACAATGTAAAGTGGTTTGTTCCCTACATGCATTTTTGAGGAATTCACTTGCATTCCGCAAAACGAATGCAAATGCAAGCCATGGCCTGGTAAGCCAACAGCCACAATAAAGTACTAGAACCAACTACAAGCCAGTAATGTACAATAGAACCATTGCCCGATTAAAAGCAACTACAAGCACAGGGGCAAGTTATATCGACCTTACAAAGAGAGCTTGCGACTGTAGCGGACCTTAGCCCCTGATGGGAATGATGGGAGGGCTCGTTGCATGGATCAATCACAAAGCTTATGTATGTTAATTATGTCATGAACATGTGTTATATTAGCACGTATAGCGTGTTCATTGCACAAACATACTAGTTTGTGTGATACACTAATGAAAGAATTGAATGTCAGTTCAGGCAAGTTTCCAAATATAGAAGAATATGAATTATTAATGGAGCCCTGATAAACTCGGAAACATTGTAGGTGCCATTTGCATTTAGACTATTGCTGGGCGGGTTTGTTTTCGACTTGCACGTGTACCGAATATGTAGCTGTGATTCTTGATTCCGGGTGCTACATGCAGCCTAGAATGTAAGCGTCGAGACGACTCGAGCTGACATTGGCACATGCCCAATGTCACGGCAAACTACCCATTAACAGCACAATCTCACACATTAGACTGAGATTCACAGAGTTTGTCACGGTGCGTGGCTTGTACGTGAGGGCTTGTTGGTTGCTGAGATCCTTTTGAACAGCACTCAACAAGTTTAGTCATCCCCTTTAATTGTGCACCAAAGTGTCGCCACGTGCTTTCGCCCTCCAGGGTTTTCCAAGGCAGTTTAGCATTGGTACGGTGGCCACTAAGTAATCATCAACATTTGACGAGGCTCGGGGGATATGCGACACACCTTGGAGGGAGCGCGATTCGATTGTTTGCGGTACTGCCGATTCCCAATTCTCTAATCAGTGGGTCATAAATTGTGCATCAAATTTGTTATTGCTAGGTCGACTTACGACTTGCACTGCTTTGGGAACCAGCCGCAGGTCATTGGATTCACAGTGCATGGAACCGCTGAAGTTCGAAGTGTGTGTTTTGGGGCGCTGCATGCCCCCAAAGACCACCAGACTCTTCAGGCATTTTCTGGCCTTTGCGACATGAAGTCTTGTTAAGCCCCTTTGTTCGAGCAGTTGTGGCAATGATTGAATTGGCAAAACATGATACAATCTTGGGGCAGATCGCGGACAGAGCAAGCCACGATTTGGACGTTTCAAATAGGAATCCCCAAAATGGCGCGCCCTTGTAAAGTGTTCTTGTCCACCACGTTTGGGTTGTCATAGGAGTGTGTTTCTCCTGGACTGATGTAAGCCCAGTTGATCAGGTTTGCTGAAGGAGGTCGCACACAGCTCATTTGGGACGCTGCGGATTTACCGCGGGTAAGGGGCGAGGCAGGAAACAGAGTCAGGACATGGAAACACGGTCATTTGTTTCCTGACTCGGTCTAGTCTCGATTTACCGCCACCTAAAGTTGACTGAAACACTCACCGGATGCCAGTTAGAAAATGAGGAGTTTCAACTCACGAAAGGACCATGACAAAAATGAGGTGCTTAGGATCACGAGACGGGTTTTCCAAAACTCATGGTATTGGGTCCCTTTGTTCCCTTCACCTAAAAACCCGTCTTCTAATTTTGTGCCAGATTTGAGCAACCCTGAGATATTTTTTGCACCGTGGCTCATTGGTGCCTTTTTTGTGGGGGGGTCCTGAATGGTGCTCTGTTGCCCAGTGGTGCCCTTTTTTCCTTTTTTGGGTAAGGGTTCGGTTCCCCTTTAAACTCAACCAACAAAAAAAAAGGTGCCCTTTTGCCCCTTTTTTTCCCATGGCCACTGGGCATTTGAGGGTGGACAACCCTGAGAAGATTGGCTCATTGGTGCCTTTTTTTGGGGGGGATCCTTAACAGTGGAATCCTTGGGCTTTACAAACAAAGGTACCCTCAAAAGAACAAAAGCCAAGCGGAATCCGAGGCATTCATGGCTGCAGACTGGCGCCTTGGAATTCGAATTTCCGTGGGACCGCTGTCTGGTTGATTCACGACAGCCTGATTCGGAGAGGCCTTTGATGAGTTTTTGGGGCACCCCCTGCAATAAATCCGCGAGGCTCTCAAATCCAGGGTCTTCCTTATATAGTAATAGCGCTTTAGCCATGGTTTCGCCTTCGACATTTTGAAGGAAGATGAGTATCTTCGCTCTGGAGCCTTTTGGTAGTACATGCTCCGTCCTGGCTTAGATTGTACGCTCTTATCTCTGTGAGTTTCTGATGTTGTAAGATGCCCAACACATGCCACACCGGCAAGGCCAGCGGCCAGGTTTTGCATCGGTAAAGGGTTGCTGCACCAAGCCAGCCTCCTGCTTTAGTTTCTGTGTTTGAGTCCGTGCGATTGCCACGGTCAGATCACCCTTGTCTTGAGGTTGTTGGGGCTGGTTGTGGACGTTTCACAGAAAAATTAGAGAACCGGATAAGGCTTCCTAGTAAGAGACCCGTAACCATCGCCCGAAGATATATTTTGCCATGGTACATGTGAGTGGCAGACAATTTTGCTGGCAGACTGTGGGTGGAGATGTCCGCATTTGTTTTGGGGCGGGGCCCGCCCCATCTCTCCCATTTTCCCACGAAGGAATGCAAGTTTGAGCCATACTAAGCAGGGATTCGCGTAACAGAAGGTGTTCAAAGACGTTGCAAGGACCTCTTCTATGCAGTTTCTAAGAATCGTGCCTGGACGGTGGGAAGGCTTTTTCTTGCTACCAAGGTACCAGTGTTTGTTTCCCACATGTGTCTATTCGTTTGCAATAAACCCTTCAGTGCTCTGGGCGATGGTAGTTGCCCTGAGCGCGGTGGAAACGCAACAAGCTCTCCTCGCATCAAAGCCAACTAAAGCCCAGAGGCGTTTTTCAATGCTGAGTACAGGTTGCAGGCGAGTGAAAGTGACGGCAACAACAGGACATGTTTCCATCTCTGGGCCGAGCTTCCATCAAGAAGCGGATCGAACGTCATGGCGCAGGCCTAAAACTCGTTCCAAATATCGACGCCAACCAAATCATTCAAACATGCCAAGCCGTTTACATGGAGATTGTGTCAACACCATGAACCCGGCCTTTTGGTCGTTCAAACGCATAGGAACTGCACAAGAAAAAACAGAGCTGGCAACAGAAATGCACAGAGTAGGACATAACTTGATTTTAGAGATTAATAGCAGAAACACCAATAACTGCCAATGGATGGATAGAGAAAGAAACACAGACAATCAGAAAGAAACTAGTACGCGGAGACACATGTAAGCAACTAAACAAGTATAACTAGGCAAAGACCACGATAAATGCATACATCAATAACTCATACTTCAAGAAACATAGATAGATAACAACACAAACGCAAGACATCACACAACACATCAATGACGCGAGGCATAAGTAAAACTCAAATATATGAATAGCAGGAAATAACAACAATAGAAAACACAGACAGAACGACGGACAGAACGTTACTCACAAGGGATACACACAAATAAATAAACACATATCAAGACGTATCATGCACAACACATGACTAAACAATCAATTTTATGCATAGTAACAACACCAGCACAAGCACAAATGACAACTGCAAGAGCCAAATACACAGTGCAACAACTAAACACATACACATTCTGCAGACAGGAGAACCAAACTCTGTAAACAACTCAAACAAGTACATACTGAACGCATAGATAAATAGAGATATATCCATCTATCTAAGCAAGGTAACCTAAACAAGACAAACCACAGCCCACAACAAAACACCACAGCACAACACAACACAACACAACCAGCAAGCAAGCAATCATGCAAACAAACAAACAAACAACAAAACAACCAAACAACCAAACAAACAAACAAACAAACAAACTAACTAACTAACTAACTAACTAACTAACAAACAATCAAACAAACAAACAAACAAACAAACAACAAACAAGCAAGCTGACAGACAGACAAACACAGAATTGCCGGGGACCGGTCCAGCCAGAGGGTTGCAACCGTGCAAGTTGCATAGGTCTTTGTGCGTGGAGGCAGCCGGGCAGCCGTGGGCACGGGGCCTAGGGCATTGGAGAAGGGGGGAGTGCCAGCGCCCCCAGCCTTTTGAATTTGCTGTTCATATAGGTCCCCCAGTAGTGCCCTTTCTCACCCCTTTTTTGGGGGAGGGTTCCCCTACTAAATTGACTACAGAAAAAAGGGTACCCTTATTCGAACCCTGTACTGCAGGACCTAGTGATGTTCTTGTTGCTTTGGCCCAACTTAACGAACGGAGAGGGGCTCCCCAACCCTTTTCAACTTCTTGTTGCTTTTTGGTCCAACTTTGACTTTTTCGCAAACTGGTTCAATCTGTTTGAGCATTTTTTCGGACGAGGGTCCAGATCGCTTTTTGGGGACAAATGAGTGTGGGATATTGGAAGGCTACTTTCGGAAAGGGCTTTGCACACCAAGCCATGTTTTGTTGGTGAGGTACACCGCAACAGAAGGTCCCTTGAAGAGCCTATCTTGCAGGAGCCAGGTACGCTCCCACAGATGATGGGAGAAGCGGTTATCAGTTGTGTGAGAGGCGAATTCAATTCCCTAGGGTGTAGTCAGCCCACATCTAGCAGGGATTCTGTTTATTGTTCCCCCCCGGACGGCGGCTTTGCTGCTGTCCGAGGTCCGCTCTCACGGCCGGGAAGTCTTGGCGCAGGCGTTCAACAGCCCGAGCGAGCTGAGCGTTTAACAGGGTTTGTCTTATTAGGGAACCCCAAAATGGGGGGGTTTTCCATTTGGCTTTCCCTTAAAACCGCTGGAAATGGGTGTTTTCGACAAAGTGGTAGCAAACAGCCCCCCAACGCTGGATGCCCTCAAAGGAAAGTCCCACAGAAAGAGTGCTGTGCAAAGCAAATTTACCACATTGTTTGGGGGCTGTTTGAAAGAGAAACCGCATGTTCCCATGCAGAGGCATGTTCCAAATTTGTTGAAAGTCTTTCTGGGTGGTTGAGGATATTGTTAGCGTGTGTCAGGTCGTTCAAAAGAAAAGGGCGCGTTTTGAGACCCAACAAAGATGACATGTGGTGCATGTGATGGGGGTCCAACATGAGGCCGTAAGCTTTAAGGCCAAACAAGGCCGGCCAAACAGGAGTCGGAAGTTGGAAGAAACTTTACTCAGAAGCGTGGAACTTGACCTGTAAGCACACCTCAGAATACTTCGGGCTTGTCGCCAGAGGCCCACAATGGCATCATGATAGCCTGCCTTTGGGGGTTTGATGACTCGAAACCCTCGGAAGGGCGGGGGTTATGACGAACTTGCGGAAAATTCCTGGGGCGTTGTCACTCTGGGTTTTCCCCATGCCATTCGGCTATGGGTCAAAATTAGTCACCACCAGGATATGGACCGCAGGTTTTAGTCAACTTGTTGCCATTCACCAGGGCAACCCATTTTGGGTTTTTGAATCAAACCCATTTGGGTTTTAGTTCTTTCCATTTTCCGGGGCAACCCATTTTGGGTACCTATTCTTGACCACCCACCCATCGGCTCCAGGGCCGCGATCTTCTGGTCACCTCCGTGGGCGTCTTTACCGATGACAAGCTCATGGAGGACTGAGATGTGGCATGGACGGCATATGGCCATAGGGCATAACCTATGGCTCCATTTTGGGGTGGATGAACATCCATTTGCCACCTATTTTGACGTTCACCAGGGGTTTCCTGGGTTTTGACAACCACAGCCATATGTGGGTTTGGGGAATCCTCATTTTCGGCGGGGAACATCCCCCGTATCAATAAGCTGGGGTTGATTCATATGGGGTAAACATCAAGCAAGGCCATCTTGTTGGGGGTCAGCTTATTGAACATAGATGGAGTCCAGTGGATTCCGTTGGGTTCTCATCATCTACCAGAGCAATTCGACTTGTCCAAACGTACATCTGGGTTGTTGGATGTATCGACTGGTTTGGTGTTTCCGCCAGACTTACCCAACTTGTTGTGCCTTTTTGTTCTTTGGGGTTTGTGGCCAACTCGTTTGCCCTGAACACAAAACCATGAACATCACGAGGGTACGCACTTGGTATATTTATGTTGGGTTAAGCGAGGGGCCCCCTTGTTTTGAGTGAACTGCGGTAATTTGGTTCACCCGGGAGTCTCCATGACGTTTCAAGTTTGGGGTTATACTGTAGATGGCCAGAATAATCCTGCACCAGTTGGCATGGATGAACCCCTATTGTAGTGGAATAAACCGCTAAACAGGCGCAGAAATTTGTCCATCCAAAGTACACCCAAACTTGATTGGTCATCACGACATTGGGTCATGGAGACTCCCAGCAGATATTACCAAACAGAAGCTGGAACATTGGTTGGGATGTCTCACTTGTCCGGGGGCTACTGCAAGGGAACAATTGCTTCCTTTTTGGCAACCCAATCCCAATCGCAGATGAACATTCCTTGAGGGACTTCCAGTAAGTGGCATAAAGATCTTGGCAAATGAAAATGACATAGCATTTGCGGGTAATGTGAACTCACTCATGATTAAGATCCCCTAGCCCAGGGTTCCGTATTTCCGGTCTGTGAATGGTAGCAATAGATAAGTACAGTCCCCCTCACCCTAATTACATAAGTATTATTCCAGGAAAGAATGATATCCGGAAATCGAGTCTCTCGCATCCTGGTCGAACTGGGCTGATCCCTAGTCGCAAAGTTCAGGGCGCGTCAGGGCTTTGACGTTCTCAGGCGCGCACGTTCTCAGGCCCATTGGCGATGCGGGACAAACAATAAGTGTCTTAACAGGGGGCATTTTGAAATACCGGAACCTTGTTTTGTTTGATCAAAGATCCAACAAATTGCAGAGTATGTGATGCAGACCCAGGCGAGTAAAAGGCTTATGTGAAAATCTTCGCACCTTGGGGATGTTCATGGAACTGCCCTCCTCCGGATCAATGCAGCCCTCCCAATGCTTGCAGGCCTTGGGTTTTTGTATGGCCCTCATAGCCTTCAAGGGGCCCAAGAGGGGTTGGTTGCACCATATCTCCCTCCTGACCATGGGGGCGGTCGTTGGCTGCGGCGCCATTGGGCCTTTGTGAGGGGATTGCTGGGTGGCCGTTTTTCCCCATGGTCTGGGACACAGAGGAGGCTTGGAGTACCGGGTAAAGACCAGTAAGAATGGAACTGGTTTTTAAGTAATACCAAGAAACACCAATCAACTCACCAATCAGTGGGGAGCTGAATGTTAGTCGGTGGGAGGGTAAGCATTCAGGGTCACACAGAGTGACATGGGGGTTTAATTAAGTCATACCAAAAACTGTGTAAATGTGAAGTAAGACATTAGAGGATTCCAGGAACACGGAGCACGTCACGGCAGGACTTCTCATCCGTTGCTGCCTCTTCTGGCTCCCGACTTCTGCTGCCCGCTGGCGCCATGCCTGGCGCGGAATCCCAGGTGCATGCAAGACCCACGGAGGCACCAGGGGAAACAACGAGGAAGGGGAAGTGGAAGGGCAAGGGGGTGGGGGTACCTGGAGTCTCCATGACCCCAACGGGTGGGTGGGGGTATCTGGAGTCTCCATGACCCCTTGGAAGGGCCGTTACCCAAAATAACGGACCCATTTTTTAAAGGGTCGTGGAGACTCCAGATAGGCGGGAGGAGTTGGAATCCTTGATCACTTACAATTTCTTAGAATCAAGGTGGAGCAATCAATAGTCTAAGGTCATACTGGGCAGTCGTCCATCCAGCAGGGGGGAGGGGTTGGAATCCTATGGTCACTTACACTCGAGGTGGAGTAACAAATAGTCGAAGTGCATAGTCAGTTGTCTCCCGGAAGTTTCAGTCAGCAGGCTATCAGAACAACATTAAAAAACAGGGAACCCCCCCAGAAGAAAGGAAGATAAACAATCAGGGGTCAACATGAATGCTTCTTTCGAATACAAGGTGGCTTTGGGTCAAAACCAATGGTACCATTTTGGGGAAGTTGCACTACCCATTTTAGAACCCATTCTAGCGGGGATTGGGATGTTCACTGGGGGTACGATTTGGCTTTTGACCCATGGCCATTCTTTGCGAATACAAGGCGAGCAAACCTCAAAGCTTTGCTCCGCCGGCTCCTTTTCGACGAAGCGGCCGGATCAGAACGTTTTGGGAGACGTGTGTTTTGATTTGGGAATGCAGAATGGTCACCTAGTGTCACCTATGTCCAGATTCTTTGGGCAACTGCGCGAATGTAACTTCAGTTTCTTTGGGTGAGAAAGTGGCACGAAGGTGTGTGACACCTTGTTTTTGGGAAACTGCCCAACTGCGCGGGACTGTCTTTCTCTGAGCTGGTGGTTTGTCCTGTTTGGCTCCTTTCCTTGCCGCTCGAGGAGTCATTAAAGGCTTTGTTGGATTAGTCAAAAACCAGCAGTTTCCCCCGGGCTTGTTCGTCGTCAAGACTTGGATTGGGTGAATGGTTTTGTTCCTCATTGGTATAGGGAATGTAAGTTGATTCAGGGACCCTACCGAGCCCCGACCTAGTAAAGCATTCTTGTTCAGAGAGAAGCCTCAGTCTGACCTCACCGTGCCTGTCACCAGAGTCTTCACGCAATCAGTCAGGTGTCATTGCTTCAGATTGCAGCATTTGCTATGTGCAAAACTGTGTGGTTGCTGATTGTCCCCGAAAAAAGTTGGAAACAACACACATACCGGAAACACAGATCAAAATCAAATCGAAACTTTGAGAACCAAAGACCATCAAGCTAGCTGAACAAAGATGTGTAGCTCGGGAAGCTGCATTTCAGTGGCTCGGGTCGAGCCATATACATAGAAAATATTGCCTATCACTGGCCCAGCACATGATGTTTAAACTTTATTATACGTGTCTTTCTCGAAAACTATTGAAACAAACAATGGGGGCGTGTATGCCTTTTTGTGATACATCTCTACAAGGACCCGCGTATGAATCATGCCGGCTCATCCAACCCCCCAGCTCTGCAGCATGCTCCAAGCGGAAGGCGAAGCGCGCTTGGACACCTCGTGACTCAAATGCCGGACAACATTGCAGCCAAAAAACCGCACCGACACCCATCCCCACCCAACACCGATACTAATTAACCTGCAGAGCATGTACCCAAAATGAATACCTACCTAACCGATACCCAACCGGGGAATAAGACCGGCACACTTGGGAAAGGGGCGGGGAGTTCTGTGAGCATTGCCAGACTTAGCTTGCCTTTTTAGCTTCTTGCTTTTTCGCGTTCCTTCATTTCGCCTTCCCAATAGCTAGCCAGCTTTTTGGGGCCAAGCCCATGCTCAAAGATATTTAACCACCGATTGGTTAGGCAGACTCATTGAAAGGCAACCAGGGTCTGGCTTGTGCACACCTTCCACAAGAGCGGCATACCTGTTCCCTTGAATGTCAACCCCGGATGAATAAACCCCTGGTTGATTAATAGGGGGGTGTCCCCTTTTAGTGGGTATTCAGACCACTTTTGGAGGGAACACCCCCTAATAATGGGACGGGTTGATTAATCCTGGGTCACCCCCCTAATAATGGGACGGGCTGATTAATCCCGGGTCAACATTACAAGGGCGGTTTGAAACATCCCCTTCCCCTAGGGGCCCTAGGGGCTCATATGCTTTTTTCCAGTGCGGGACAGGTCCTTTAGCCTCACCGCTTCGTGAGGCTTGGACTGGATGTCCAGCGCCGCACTGGATGAGGTTCAGGAGGCCTTTGGGCGTGTGGACGAAAACGTCCCCCTTCAACTTGACGGCGATTTGGTAACGGATCTTTTGGACTTTGACTTTTTGGGTGAAACTGGTGGGATGCTCCATGAGACCCGCAAACAGTTGTTCAATTTGTTGTACAGGGGTCAACTGCAACCAAGTAAATGGGTGTGTCATGTGTCTCTTTTTTGTATTTCTTCAGATGATCCCTGACTTTTTTGGTGTTTTAGTTGAACAAAAGGCCTGGGTGATCCCTGACAGGATTTTGCCTTTATTATTTTAAAGCAACCGAAGGGTGCCCTCAAAAATACGCACCCAAATCTGGCAGCTATTTGTGGCAAGCTGGGGGAAAAACGAGCTACCCATGAAGGGCCTGGAGTGCCGATTCTGATTTTAGGCTTTGGAATTGTACAGTTTGCAGATAAATGTACAGGGAGGTCCACGTCCGGACTGCATGGTCGGCCTTTTTATACGATTCTCATGGCATAGATGGCAAAATGGAAAGCATTGCTATAACCAAGGGAGACCTTCATGAATTTCAGTGAGCTGGATAGTTTTCAAATGAATCAGTGCGCATCCCGTGGTTTTATTCGGTGACTGCGGCAGTTCCACTTTTATTCGATCCGTGTTAAGTCACACTCAAATGTTCATTGCAGGTGTGGGCACCACCTCTGTCGAAGAAGGCAAGTGCCTTCATTGAAAGCCACAACTGTTTGGGATCCGTTCCTGCGGATATTGTCAACACCCGCAGGCCGTGCTCGTGGACAAGTTGGCTTCAGGGCCCTGCCTGTGATGCCGAGGGACATCCCTTTGAAATCACAAGGTAGCCTTCGGGATGGGAATCAACCGCTTTGATATCACAGAACGGACTATTTCCTACCCTGGACAAATAAAAGCGCCTTCTTGACTCATTCCAAGCAACGCCGGGCCCCGCTGAGCACCGAGAAATGCGAGCAGTGCTCAAACTCCTTGTTCTCCTCGATCAACGACGCGTACTGCTCCAGCCCGGTTGCTTGCTGTCCGATTGTTGATTGCTCGGCATTTCGCTGCCAAGTACGAGCTGCATGGTAGGGACTGGCTAGGCCAGTCTCCTGTCCTCGAAGCCGGCGAAGTCAAATGGGTGTGTCTATTTTTGGGCACCCCTTTCAATCCACTTTGGCCTGAACCGGCGAGATCGGCAAAGCACTGGGAGGTCGCCTGGCGTGCCAGCATTACGCAACCGCTTGACAGCATACCGCACGCAACCACTTGGGCAGGGAGCGCTTCGAGGCGTCCAATGCATTGGCTCACGTTGACGCCATCCAAGATGGCAACCTCACCCATCGAGGCCTGAGGCTGCTTTTGCTAGGGCCCCACTTTGACCTGGGGTTGGTAGGGATAGTCATGCACCCCTTTGGGAGTTTAGAAAGCCTTGCCCTCCCCCCAGTTGCATGGAATCTAACAGGTGGCCCCAAGAGACAAATTGTCTTTGGGGGACTCTTCTTTCAGGGTTGAATTTGGGTGTGGGTCAAAAATAGTTACTCAAAATGGGTTGTCCCGGTAAATGGAAACAAGTTGACTACAATATGTGGTCCATATCCTGGTGGTGTAATTTTGACCCATTGCCAGGTTAACTTCGGGGGAGTACCACATTAGCGTTGAGGCCAAAAGGGATTTTCCACTCCCGCGCGGCCTCCCAAGCCTCACCGCAGGTCACCGTGGAGCAGCGCAAAAGACCAGAGGCTCGCGTGCGCTCTTTACTCCTCGCGTCGGTGGAGTCACTTTTTGTGTTTTGGTTTCTTGCTCGCAAGCATCACTTGGTGTCAAAACCATTGGGAACAGGAAGGGGGGGTCGGTGACGGTTTCTGTGATAGCAAGGGAATGCCTTTGATAGACTAGTAGTGGAGATGGAAATCCCACTTTCACTTTGGTATCACAGCATGGTACCCTCCCACCAACTAACATGGAACCTGACAGCGGAGTCATGGAAGAGCATTTTCCTTTTAAAGGGACCGCCTGTCAATTCCAGGAAGCTCTTTCCATTTGGAGTGTTTTGGTCACGCCTTTCGGTTTTTCAAGGCTCCCCAAAGCAGGAAAGCATGTGAGTTTCCAAGAGTGCCCTACCAGCTGATTTGTTTGCATGCCTCTATTTTCCTGCAGGTTGACATGGAATCTCAAATCAAACGCAACAAATTGTGGACAATTGTCCTCTCAGTCACATGCGGACATGCATGTATAGATTTGATACGTACATATAGTCATTGCACTACTCTACAAGACGTTGTGCTACACTACATTCCATTGCACTGAATTGCATTGCATTCTATTGCGTCACAGCGCATTGCATTGCATACAATACATACATTGCATACATAGATGCATAAGATACACAACAAACATAATGTAAATCTCACATACAAACAAACACACACACACAGAAATAAAACAACCACACAAACACAAACCCAAACAAGCAAGCAAGCAAGCACGCACGCAAGCAAACATACATACACAGACACACACCTACATACATACATACATACATACATACATACATACATACATACATACATGCATGCATGCATGCATGCATGCATACAAACATACATGAACACATACATAAATACGTACGTACGTACGTACATACATACATACATACATACATACATACATACATACGCACACATACATACATACATGCATGCATACATACATACATGCATGCATACATACATATATATATATATATATACATATGCATGCGCGCGCAAGGAGCGCGCAAGTGCGGCCCAAGGGACGCGCAAGGTTACAGTTTTGAAGGGTTTCATGTACTGATGTTGCCTAGCTTTACAAAAGGAGGTGATTTCTTGTTGCTGTATTTGTGGTTTTCAAATGTTGCTTGGGTCATGTGTAGGTCACAAGCTTGTTTGCAAAGGTGCGTTTTTTTTGGCAGTCAGACAACAAACGAATCTAAAGCTTCTGCGGTCATGACTTCAACAATCAGCAACTGACACGACAAAATCCGCGCAAGCCGCGCGCAAGTTGCGCGCAAGCACGAGAAGCCCCAGCAAGACATCTAGCCATTTGCTGTCTAGGATGTCCTTAGCGCCGCGGTTCAAGCAATGGATAGGCAGCCGCGACATGCACTTTCCTGCTTTCAGGCTGTGTCCAATCTGTGTGGCAGAGCCTGCTGTCCTTTCTGTTGGTCAGGAGTATGTTGCTGGCCTAGAATTGCTGGGAGCAACCTCAGCGGGAAGAGCCTTTGTGGGTTGCTGTGTGCACGACAAACACGCTGGTTAGAAAAGCTTGCGCGCAATCCACACGAAAACTTCGCAAACCGAGATCGACGAAACCTAGTTTCTGCGTCACTGTGCGCGCAAGTCCGCGCAAGTGCCGCGCAAGTGCGGCCCAAGGACCCAATCCTGGGCAAAGGAATATAGGACAACCCCCACATACATACATACATGCATACATACATACATACATGCATGCACACACATACACACATACATACACACATACAGACATACAGACAGCAGACATGCATACATACACACACATACATATACACACATACAAGACATACATAAATGCATACATACACAAACACAGACATACAGACATACACACATACAGACATACAGACATACAGACATGCAGACACGCAGACATACATACATACATACACACATACATACATACATGCATACATACATACATGCATACATACATACACACGTGCACACACATACATACACACATACAGACATACAGAGATCAGACATACATACATATACAGACAGACATACACACACATACAGACATACAGACATACGTAATTGCATACATACACAAACACCTACATGCATACATACATACATACAGACATACAGACACACAGAGATACAGACATACAGACATACAGATATACAGGCGCACATACATATAGACATGCAGACATACATACATACCTACATAAATACACACATGCGCACAAACATACATACACATACATGCATGCATACATACATACATACACACATACATAGACACACACATACATAGACACGTACGTACATACCATGCCACACCATGCCCTGCCCTACCCTTCCCTACCCAACACTACCGTACCATACCACACACACATACATTCATACACATATACATATATATATATGTATATACAGATATACACAAGATGCATACCATGCATAACATACACAACATACCCAGCATGCATAGCATATACAACATACATCACACACAGAACACAGATAGCATTGATACTATACCCTACATAGCAAAACATAACATCACATACACATTTACACACATGCCTCATTTTCTCAATCACACATGCACAAACATACATACATGCATGCATGCATACATACATATGCAGGCAGGCAGGAAATCAGGCAGGCAGTTAGAGAGAGAGAGACAGGCAGACGCAGACAGACAGCACTGCCTACATACATACGTGCATACACGCATACATACATACATACATCTACATGCCTACCTGCCTACATACCTGCCACACCTACACACATGACGCATGCAGGCATACATACATCCAGACATACACATATACACACATTCCCACATACACACATACACGCATACACGCATACACACATGAGCAGCGATCAAAGCAATCAGAAGGGAGCTAGTCTTGTGGCGCCGGGTGCGCAAGCTCGTGGAAGCTTCCGCGGAGCATATCGCAAGCTTTGTTGCCGCGGAAGCAAAACTCCATGCTGCAGAAGGCTTCAGAAGCCCCGCGGCTCGCAGTCCCATATTATGAGAATTTGTGCTTTGAATTTTGGTCACTGCTCACAGGCACGCATACCCAAATACGCACGTACACACGTTTACACACACACGGACACTCCTATACACCCATACACGCACACACGTGCAAACGTAGACACATACATATCACAGATACACAGACACACAGCTTCACAAACATGGATACATTGATACATTCATGCATGCATGCACACCCAGATACACACGCACATGCCGCTTCATTTGCACATACACGTACACTTGCTTACCTGCTTGCATGCATGCATATACCTTGATATGTGCGTATATCACATATCACGGGCCACAACATGGGTCGCGTTAGCTTGTGTGTAAGCAGCCTTGTTCAACATACGAATCAAATCATGGGGCGTGTGATTACACACATATGTACACATTTGATGTACAACCGATACATTAATTAAATCATATATATATATATATATGTACATATATATATATATATTAATATATATATATGATTTAATATATTGTTGCTTGTATGTATTGCGCTCGCGCGGCAGGGCTGGCGGGGTACCCCGGCGGAGAGCCGCATGGACCTGGCGGCGCTGACGGAGCCGCAGACGGTCTTTGAAGGCGCAGGGGCGGGAGCCGGGGAGTGGTTGGAGGGGCTTGGGGGTTGCATGGGGTTCATTTGAAGGTTAGAGGTAGATGGAAGGTTAGGGTTTACTGGAAACTTGGGTTTACTGGAAGTTTTTGGTTGGGTGGAGGTGGATGGCTCACTTGTTTGAGTTTGGTTGCGATGGCTTTTACTGGGGCTTTTTGACCCCGATCCCCGCAAAATGTCTTGCGTTGGGACCGGAAAACCTTTTTTTGGCTGCGATGTGCAAGAACACGCAGGCACAATCCCGTTTTTTTGGCGGGAGCTGAAGTGTTGAGTTGGTCAGAGAACGTTCGCGGCCAGTTTTGGCAGGGTGCTTTGAGGCCGTTTTCTTTATGGCTCACCCATGTTACCAAAGAGCGCTCGGCATGTTTCCTTTCGGCCCGTTTTGAAGGGCTCCAATTGATTCTGGGGGCTAAAAGCAAACGGTCCCAAGCTGGCTTACCCTTTGAACGATGTCATCTAGGGGCAAATGTATGATGCTTCTCCATGACCCTTTGAACAGGAGGTTACACTGTCACACCCAACAGTGAAGGGTTCATGACCCCATGTTCCGAGGGTCATGGAGACTTCAGGTATTTAAAATGGAGTCCTGGTGGTAAGTTTCTATAGGGGGATGGATTGACAGCGAAATCAGCAGGAAGCCAGCCACTTGATGGCGACTGCTCTAAGTTTTAGGCCCGCGGTTCCACGTTGATTAAGGTGTTGTGCTTGCTGCGGTCTGTTCAGGGGTGCTTCTGGTTCCCTTTTTGGAATGATCATTGCAGTGACCGCTGAAGGTTTGCCGTTTTGGCAACATCCTGACCTTTTCCAGCTGGATCGATGCGTTCCAGAAGAGGTGTAAAAGGGCTGCCTCAAGCCTTGCAAAGATGGGCAAAACACAAGGGTAGCTCTAGAGAGTTGCTTTGGTTTCCTATGTTTTCTTTGCCAGGAACCAACATTAGACCCTTGTGCCAGGCTCTTTGAAGCAACCCGGACGGTTGTTCATTTCCTCTCAAGCATCAACCAGCCGAGCAAGTACTACCCTCCCACGATGTCTTGCTGCGACACATTGCGACACCCTTTCCAAGGGGAAAGGTTTGGTCTTCAAATTTGGGGTCCACTTCGTGCACCAAACCCATCTTTGGCTACTCCAAATCTAGTATGAGGTTCAGTCAAAATGTCAGAAGTGTCCACCACTGTGTGTCTTTGTAGGACTCATTTTAGATCCCTTGGAGGGGTCGGTTCTTTTATTTGGGCGACGGTCAAAAACCCATGTGTAAAAGTTTAGTAAGGAGCATATTCATGTGTTCTGGCGCTGCGCGCGCGAAAGGTCGCGAGTGGGCGCCGGAAGGTTTGCGAAAGGGCTGGCCACAATGATGATAAAGGATGCTGATTTAGCACTCTGAATGGTGTGAGCATTTTTCAATGCTGTAGAAATAGCTTTTGGACTGTTGTTTATGCCATATGCCCCTCGCGCCTGCATGGTTGGTATGCCGTTGTTGGGGGTTGCCCAGAAGCTATTTCGGCCAAGGCCAAATAACATTTGGGCCTGTTTCGGGGTTGGTCCACAAGATGCAAACCAGGGCACCCCCAAAACCTGTTTTTTAGCATTGGAAAATAACATTTGGGCAGGTTAGTCTTTCCTTGAGAATGCAGACCAGGGCACCCCCAAAACCTGTTTTCAAGACTGGAAAATAACATTTGGGCAGGTTCTGGGTTGGTTTGCAGGTCAAGGGGCCGAAAGTGTCCAAATGAGTCTTTTCCTTGAGGGTACACACTAGAGAGCCCCCGAAGCTTGTTCTGGGCGCTGGAAAATAACATTTGGGCAGTGACCGGCCAAAAGTGTCCAAATGAGCACCAAAACCTGTTTTGGGCACTGGAACATAACATTTGGGCAGTGACCCGCCAAAAGTTGGATGGATGGATGGATGGATGGATGGATGGATGGGAGGATGGATGGATCGATGGGTGGGGGGTGGGTGGATGTATAGGTGTGTTGATGGACGGATGAGAATACAGACCCCAAAACCTGTTTTGGGCAATGGAAAATAACATTGGGGCAGGGTTTGAGTTGGACAAGCCAAAAGTGTCCAAATGAGTTTTTTCCTTGAGGGTGCAGACTAGAGAGCCCCCAAAACTTGTTTTGGGCGCTGGAAAATAACATTTGGGCAGGTTTTCAGGCCGCTGAAAGTGTGCAAATCAGTTTTTCCTTGAGGGTACAGACCAGGGCCCCCCAAAACCTGTTTTTGGCACTGGAAAATACTATTTGGGCAGGTTCTGGGTTGGTTTGGGGCTCAAATGAGTCTTTTCCTTGAGGGTACAGACTAGGAAGCCCCCAAAACTTGTTTTGGGCACTGGAAAATATTATTTGGGCAGGTTCCGGGTTGGTTTGCAGCCAAGGGGCGGAAAGTGTCCAACCGAGTCTTTTCCTTGAGAATACAGACCAGGCACCTCCAAACCCTGTTTTGGGCACTAGAAAATAACATTTGCGCAGGTGCTGGGTTGGTTTGCAGGAGCCAAAAGTGTCCAAACGTGTTTAAATGAGTTTTTCCTTGAGAATACACAGACTAGCACCCCAAAACCTGTTTTAGGCATTGGAAAATAGCATTCGGGGTGGGTTGTTGGTTTCCAAAGCAGGCTTTTGACGCATGGCTTTAGTGGTGTTGTCGACCGAGGGTCGTCGACCATGTGCGCCCCACTGTGGGCGCGAAAGAAAGCGTAAGTTTCGCGAAAGGGCGCCGGAAGGCCAAACAAAAGACAAAATAATTTCGACCAACGCCCATTTGCACATGCACGCAGACGCAGCTGTTTTTGTTCGAGCAATAAACATTTGGGCGACTAAAATCGGAAAACGTCTGGCGAATGTGCCTTTCTTGGGAGATTGTTTTGTAGGTGCAGAATTCTGATTTACCCAGATTGCCCATGAATCAAACGTCCCTCCAAAAGCCCCGTGGCCTGCCAAGTCAGAGAAGCGGAATTCTCTATGGGGTGGACTTGATATTGGGGGGCGTTTAGTGAACAAAACGTATGTCGCTTTTTGGTTGGAGTTCCAATCCACTTAAGGAAGTGCCATTAGGAGCCTCCTGTCCGCCAGGCCCGGCGAGAGAGGCCAGTTCCGACTGGGATGTTGAAGCGTGGGAGGGGGATGAGGAGGATATGGATATATGGCGCTGATTTGTTCAGAGTTGGTGCCACCTCACAAGTGGTAGACCGACAGACACACAGATGTCCACGCCGAAGGGTCGGGGACCCATTAAAAGTCACACCCGTACGGGTGTGTGTGTGTGTGTGTGTGTCTTGTGAGGTTTTCCTTTGCAGCTTGGCTTCAAGGGAAAAGGGAGCACCGCCATTTTGGGGGTCGTGCAATTTTGCCACATGCATACGGGAGCTATGGGTCCACTTCCATGATTGCAGAAAGAGTAAGGACCCTTTTATTTTTTCTCACCCCAAAAGCGACATGGGCAACAGGGGGCAATAGAGCTTGAAATTACCAAGGATGGTATGACCCTAAATAGACACAACATCGGCTTGTGATGTGTCGCAGTCGTCTCAAGGTCGTACCCCCCTGTCATCTCCCATTGGACTTTGGGGGTTTGAGAGCCAAAGCAGGCTGCCAGCCAGTTCCCAAAGAACGCCAACATCGCGGCAGCGCTGGCGCTGGGAACGGTAGGATTGGACAGGCGCATCTCGGATTGGCAGATCAGCGGATTGCGTGGAGGGTCGAAGTTTGACCAGAAGTGCCGAACACCTGGTCCAAGTGGCAACCGTGTTGGCCAGGAAGCCATTATCGAGCCCCTGGCCGGTTTGGGTGTTCCTCGTAACAGAAAAACTGTGCGTTGGCTGTGTGGCACAATCGTGCGCCTTTTATTCTTTACATGGTTTGGCAAGGCTCCAAGTTTCAGGATTGATCCCGAGTCACATGAGTTTGGTCAACCTGCCGGCCGAAAAGCACAAGATGCAGTGGTAGTCTCAGTTTGGGACCGCCTTGTTTCACCCTCTGATAAGCTATGAACATGAGCTTGGATATGCCCAGGTTGTAAATGATCCTATCAAATGAGCCTTGACATAAAAACACAAACAACAACTGGGTAGATCAAGGGTAAGAGACAGTTCCAGCCGGAGGCACGGCTTTCCGCCCTTTCAATTATTTGGACACCCAGCCCAAGTATTGGTCTTGAGATTGTCCCAACCCAAACCTGATGTGCGCAGAGCAACGGACCTCGCCGTTTCTTTAGGGTGCTTCCTTTAGGTTGATGACTCGGGTGCCTCGTTGAACCATGGCCCCTCCGTTTAACTGCTCCTTCTTGCCACCACGTCACCTGCCGGTTCCTGCAGAATCGAAGGATTCAACCAACAACCCAACCTGAACATTAAAGGTTTCAACAAATTGGACACCCAACAACCTGTGTTTCCCAGCACAAACAACCTCCTGGACTACCTTGGGCTAAACCCAGACAGGGGGTAAATGAGGGCAGATAAGCCCATGAGGTATATCTGTCATATTTCTTCGGGGTAGGCGTCCAGTTGTGTGAGTGATATTGGCCCTTGTTGGTTTTGAAGGGAAAGTACCACTGCACAAGGGAAGCATCACTACTGGACATAGATCCACTTTTTCCAGGGCTTAAAAGCAAATGGAAGAAGGTATGTCTCATTCGTTGCAGGTTACTCTCCAGAGTCGTATCCGCTCCCCCTGAAGAGCCATGGTTCTAAAATGGTTCTAAGTTGATGAAAGTGCTGCACACTGGGGCAAGACATTCATTGAGTGGGAGGTTTCTTTGCGATCCTTATCTTGGAAGGATTGAATCACTTTCCGTTGTTGGGCAATTTCACAGGGCGTCCCTTGCAATTGGGAAATATATTTACCCATGTTCTAGGTTGCCTGTTTGCTTCCACTTTTAGTGCCATCCAAAAGAAAAGCCCCTGACCTCTCTTCCTCAACGTATATTTCGTTAATTTGGAGCACTGGAGTGGATCCCTCGCCTGTTGTGGCATGGTGCTTTCATTGAAACAGGAACGCCACCAGTTTTTTGCGCGGGAAGTGGGATGGCCAAAGTCCCTGTGGGCCAGATTTCAGAGGGTGACCTTGCTAAAATGGCGGGTTGAATTCGCTTCTCCCTTGCTGTTTGGATCTAAGTCTCAGGTTGGGAGGATGTCCCCAGCCCTTCAAACCGCCATATTCGGCTTGCCGACGCGGCAGGTTGACGGTGCGGCTGGTAGCAGATCCCACAGTGCTGGAAGCTCGATGGGATCCGCCCACCCCCTCCCTTTGTGTTAGGCTTGATTGTAAAAACCTCCGTACGCAGGGGTCTCTGTTTTCCTCAAGGTCAACAGGTTCATGGAGTGCCCTGAACTTGTCAAGGCCCGGTTTCAAATAGTGCGAAAAGCGAAACCAAAAGGGAAACCCTTGCTTTTCTCAGGGGTCCGCTTCCTACTTTGGGCACCCAGCTAGTGCAATTCTTGTCGGATTTCGAGCAAATGAATCCCTGAACTTCTAGGTACTGTCGGTTGGACACCCCGCTGGTGCAGGCTGTTTTGGGCATGGTCGCGATCCAAACCTCAAACAGTTCGTGGCAGCATAACTGCAACATGTTGCGTTGTTCTGAGGCATCCACTATGCCAGTTGTTTTTTTGAAGAAGCTGGGGGGAGTGTTTTTTGAGACCACCTTGTGGTTTAAGCTTGGACGTAGAAGTCTAGTTTGCTTTTAGATCTGCCAATATGGTCCCCATCCTAAGAGTCCAAAGACTTCCTAATGATGTACTTTGAGCCATTTGGACCTGCTCAAGTACATTCTCAGGAGGTTTCAAGAACCCTTGAAACTTAGGGCAACAGAAGGCTCTGGCAAAATCATGCAACTTGAAAGCAGGGCTATTGGAGAGGCTATGCCTGGATAAACCAGAATATCGGATAAGCCAAGGACAGCCCTCAATGACGCCTTATTAAAGGATCAATACTGTGGATGGGCAGAATCCTGCACCAGTCGGTCGGTGGTTTATCTCACTATAGGGTTTCCTTTGTCCCACCTGGTGTCTCGCGTGGATTTTGTGAACAGGTGACGGTGTTGCTTCCCGCACGACCGCTCGGTCCACAGAAACAGTGTCATCCGAAACGGCAGTGTTTCGACTCAAAACCGAGGCCAGGACCCACCAGTCGCATAACCCTGAAGGGTGCCTGCGGCGAGCTGGCCATTGAGGCATGCGAATCGAGTGATGCTTTTCCGCGGCATCCTTTGGCCCCCGAGTGACTTTCCTGGGTGATGTAGGGGGATACAGATGGAACCAAAGGGACGCCTCGGAGAAATCAGGGTGGGTTGATGGGAGTTTGGAAACAAGTGAGGCTTAAACGTGACACCTCTCCTATTCAAAAAGCTTCTCGGCTACTCGCATCTCTCTTGCCCAAGATAAGGGGTTTCAGAGACCCCTCTTAAAGACCTTCCAACCATAGGCCGTACCAGAAGTGCACAGGACCACTGAACAGGACAGTTTTCCAAAACTCGAGCGCCATGTGTGGTGAGTGGGAGGGTATTGCCTCAAAGGTCGGGTGCGGTTTGACACTTCCGGGAGGTGAAAGGCAAACCGCTGAGCCAGCGCACCTCCCGCATCGTGCCCTTCTCAGCACCGGCCTAAGTGACACCTTGGCAGGGTGCGGGGCATGGGAATCACGGAGAAGTGTTTGTGTGTTATTGACGGTACCAAATTGGAAGCATCGCCTGACCCCCCCCCCCCCCGAAATCCGTTTTGGTGTCCCTTCAAACCAGCTTGAAACGGGTAGCCTCAAAAAACACAATCCCACACCCCAAGACCATCCAACGCCACAACAAATCTAAAGGGAGCCGCAGGCAAAATGCTTTTTTGGGCTTTCCCTGAGGGGCCGATGCAAAAGTTGTCAAGCACGTATAGATTTATGTGAGACGGTGGAGTTCTGAGCTTCCCAGAGGTGCTCGTCTTTGGGGTCGATTCTAGACGCCCCCGCTGTAGACTTCACCAAGTGTCACACTTTTTTCAGAAGCTAAAACAAACTGCCTCAAAGGTCCGCATGGATCTTGGGCCGCACCTGAAGCTATTTGGGGTGTGGTACGGGGAACTTTGCTGGGCTTGCCATGGAGGATGCTCACGGCCCGAGATGTTTTTGTCCGTTTCTCGTGCATCCAAGGTGCTGAAAGCGCTGAAGAACCTGTCCTCACCGGTGAGTATTGGCCTCTAGTTGCGCCAGAGCCAAAAAGAAGCGGCGCGAATGCCGAGCATTGGATGCGGCCGATGTGGATTCCATTGAGGGGTCCCCACTTCGTGATGTGGAGGGGTCTTCCGAGTTCCAAACGGCCATGGGTCAAAATCCCGTATTCCCTGTGAACATCCCAATCCCCACTAAAACAGGTTCTAAAAATGGGTGGTGCACCTACCCCAAAATGGTACCATTGGTTTTGACCCATAGCCAAATGTGTTCGACATGCAGCGCATTGATCCATTGATCTTAAGAGCAAGCCACAATAGGAGGAAGACATGAGTGAAGGATTCCCACTCGGGGAGCCCCCCTATTTGTCAACCAGGGGTTCATTAGTCCGGGGTTGGCATTTGGTGCAAGCTGCGCATCCATATCTTTCCACTGGATGGAAAGGGACTAGCACTTGGATCACTTGCCAATTGCAGCAAATGGGAGTCGGCGTTTCGCAGAGACTAAAGCTCATCCGGTCCGTGGCCTGCTTGGTTGAATCTTTGGCTTCCTTTGTCGAACGTGGGCTGCACCCAAAGCCCTGTTTGGCCATTCAGAAATTGGCTCCTCTACGTCCTTGTTGGAAGAGGGTTACACTAAGGGCTATAATGACCTATATAGCCATCTTGCTACAAGCAAAGTGGCCATCCTTTTTGGAAGAGGCTTCCTCTAAGGGCTATAACGTCCTGTATAACCATCTTGCTAGCAAAGGTCGATGAGGTTTTGGGCACCCACGTATTGTCTGACCAGCAGAAGGCGCTATCGCCAGGCACTGTGTATCCGTTGGAAAGTTCCAGCTGTCAATGGTTGCCATGGGCTTCCCAAATGAGCGACCAAAACCCTCGCTGGCATCTGATCTGGCAGTGAGGTGAAGGAACTCCCCGCTCCATTCCTTCGGCGCGGCTTTCAATAGGGTAAATGTGAGGCGTTCTCAAACTTGAACACTTCGGGACTGGTTTCTCTTTAAACAATCATCCAGAGGTAGCTTTGGGGGGCGGGTGCCCGCGGAATGACTGTCCGGAGGTGATTTTGGGGGTGGTTTAGCTGCAGTTTGCTAGGTCCCCCAGTAGTGCCCTTTTACTGTTTTTTGGGGGGAGGGTTCCCCTACTATCTCTTACAGAAAACAGGGGTACCCTTATTCTAACCTCTCTACTGGAGGACCTAGTTTAGCTGGGAATTTTGAGGATGGCACCTTATACTAGACCCCGTTTCCTCGGCAGGTACCTGCATCAAATCGAGCGTGGCGATGGGAAGACCACGATCTTCCCGCGCAAGGACAGGCCCATGTGTTATGTGTGCCACGGTCAAAACCGGTCAAAACACCTTATTTCGGGCTGGTAGGGATCGTCATGAGCCCCTCAACAAGAACTGTAGTAATCGAAAGATTCCGACCAAGGGAACCACGCTGTGGCCCACATACGGTTGCTGGGCGGCACGGTTGCTGGGCGCAGGTGACAGAGAGAAACTAATGATATGAAACGTCCCTAAAATTGAGAAGTCAGCTCCTGTTTGGATGACATTTGAAGGGCAATTCCAAAGAAGCCAACCGCATTTGAGGGGAATCCATGTTTGTAAGCAATGTTATGACCTGAACGAAGGCATGTTTGGTGTTTTCGTGTTTTGGGCCTGTTGGTCACACTTCCGCGCTCTTTACAGGTGCCCCGTGCTATTGCTGCAGTGAAAGCTGTGAGACAACCCTGACATGTGCAGAGTCATGAGCGCCTTTCGTCGTTGACCTGAGACATGGAAAGTACGAGAACCCGAGGAGGGGAAATGGGCCAACAGCCAACTCGTGATTGGTTGAGCTTCCCCCTGGGGACTACTTCATGTGAGCCACCCTGCTTCAAAAAGAACACCCCTGTCACCAACTGCCGGTTTTGTGTTTCTCAAAGCTTGCAGCGGCAGCCGGCCGCAGCCTGCAACAGATTCAGGCGTGCCTTGAGACTAAATTATGTTGTTTGTCCAACCACAATAGACAGTTGCTTACATAGTT